ACTAGCAGCGGATGTTGGGCGGAGACTTCAAATTCATCCGATGTCCTTTGTAGGGAACAAGAACTCCTGGACCGCATTGCATGTCTAAACAGTGGCAAGTTTCCTCCGCAAGTTCCACCTACTTGGACTGCTTGCTATTTGCTTTTTTCTAATTATCAGGTTGTAAAATTGTCAGATGTATACATTTATTGTTTCAAATAAGAAAAGGTAAAACTGTAAAGCAGAAAACTGGAGCTGAGATAAAAGACTTAAGGGCTAGGGCCGGGGATTTATCTCAGTGTTTCGCCGCCTGCCATGCAAGCTTGCAAGTGCAAGGGCCGGAGTTCGATCTCCGGTACCAAAAAAAAAAGACTTCAGGGCTATTCCTTCTGACCTTTAGTGCCAACAATAAATTGTTCTCAGGAAACTGCTTTAAGTCTGCACGCAATGCAAATTGATCCCTTCACAAGGTCAAGTGGACTCTGTTGTTCCTCTTGTTTTTCAAAAAATGAAATTGAACTTCAGAATGAGTCCAGGCAGCTCAGACGCACCTTCCTGGCAAGCGCAGGGTCCTGAATTCGATCCCTGGTTCTGGAAAAAAAAAAAAAAAAAAAAAAAGTGAGTCAAGCAGGAATTTGCAGAAATGTGTTCTTAAAAGAGTGGAGCACTTGAAAGGTCTGTGTGGCCAATGATCTCCTAGAGGTTTATGCTTCCCTTTCTAGGATTATTATGTCTTTATCCACTCAGATGGTTAAGATGTAATTCTCTGGAGTCTGGAGTATTTCACAGGGGAGACAGGGAATCGTGTGTATTCTCTGCCCTTGAGAAGATGCCAGGAAGCCCAGAGCAGAAGGGAGGGGCGCTACCACCCAAGTGCTGGACACACGTCTTTCAGAGCCTTTCTGGAGAAGAGGTGTCTGTGAGAGACTGGACACGGAGCCTGCTGGGGTTAGACAAGCAGCGGGATTCCTAAAGGAAGGATGGTGCTTGGGAGAGGCTCACGTAGAGATAAGCACAGGTCTAACCTGTGCCGTACTGTAGCATAAAAATGATTTCCTCAACCCTCACAGTGTGTGCAGAGCCCCACAGTTTGCAGCCATAAAACCCTCCAAGGAAAGGAAATGAATGCATCAAATAGCTTCTTTTTCTCAGTAGTTTTCCTCCAAATGAAAATGCCTGGACCTCCGTGAAGCTGCTTCCCCTAACTCCTGAACATCACATTTGCACCTCTGCCTGCACAGCCACGGCCCCCTGCTCAGTCGGACATGGAGAGCTGGGGTGTGGCACTGCTGTGCTCTACCAGCAGGCCCACCAGTGCCCACCAGTGCTCACCACCGGTGATGTAGATTTACTCTGCCACCCGAGGATGCACAGTTTGTGTGTTTGTTTTCTGGAGACACCTCTTCCTGTTAGCTTAGTGCATGGATTCCTGCTGCATTTTTGTTCTCTGGGTTGCATAAGTGGTTGCAAACTCAGCGCTGCAGACACCCACCCCTGCATTACCTGCTGCCTCTGGGCTCTGCCTGGAGGTTGCGGTGAGATCAGGCGGCTTCGTACCTGGAGGGTCTGGGCAGGAATCCAACTCTGGATTCAGTAGCTTGGCAGAAAGTGGTTCCGTGGGGTGGTTCTGCTTCCTCCCTGGCTGTTGGGGGCCCAGTTCTGTCCCCAGACCCTAAAGGTCCCACGTGTTCCTAGTCACATGACTACTTGTCTTCAAGCTGCCAGCAGCTGCCCCAAACCTACCATCCTTGGAATCTCTCTGGCTTCTCTTCCTGCCTCCAGCCAGAGAAGTTCCCTGCTCCCAGAGCCCCTGAGAGGCGCAGGGTCCTAACCCATGGCACAGGCAGGAGTGAAGCCCCTTCCCACCCCAGGTCCTACTTGAGGGGCATGGCATCTCAGGGGGCATCTTAAGAAGTCTGCCCGTTCCCAACTTTCCATCATCATCATCAAATGCTAATAACCCTTGTGCAAAATAAGTATTCACATCTAGGATTCATAGCTGGAGACCTAGGGCTCATTCTACTATATTAAAAGCTGGTATTACTATGTGGTAGTTCCTGTGGAGTTTTGCCAGGCAGGCCATAAATCCCCGTGAGCATGTGTGCAAGTGTGAGTCACTATGGCTTTGCCAGTGCAAGCACACTCTTTTAAGAACATTGGGAGGTGAATATGGATGTCATTGTTTATAATCCGCATTCATTTCATTAACAGTTCTGTGCTTGTCCACATGTTTTCTGGTTGGCTATATTTTTTCTCTGACTCTGTATATGCTCTTTGATTTTCTTAATTTCTCAGGCTATTCCATAATAAAAATTTTTTTTTAAAAAACCCTTTACTAGGAATTGGTTTTATTCAACAGTAAAGAGGTGGCCTTAAAAAGGAAAAATGATGAAGGGAGGGCAGGGACAAGGGGAAAAAATGAGAACCAAAACCTGTCATGTAAAGGTACAAGATCCCAATAATGAATGTAACTGTGCTGCATACCTAAAATGTACCAATAAACTCAAATGAGGAAGAAAAAAAAAAAAAAGAGGAAAAATGATATCACATCTGTGATTGATGTTGTGGGTCAGCTTGGTTGGGCCACGGCTCCCAGCTGCCCAGTCAAACCTAGTCCCAGTCATGCTGGGAATATAGTTTTTAGATGCAAATGAGATTTGTAATCAGATGACTTTGGATAAAGTAGATCACGCCACGATGTGGGTGGGTCTTGTCCAATCAGTTAAAGGTCTTAAGACTGAGCTCTCCCCAGAGGAAAGTCTGCCTCCAGCCTTGGATTTTCTCCACTGCATCAGCTCCTCCCTGGTCTGTTTCTGCCCCCATCACACCCCACTGCACACCAGGACACACACTTGCCCTCCCTCTGGGGAACTTGATGACAATTTACATGGGATAGTATAGTAACGCAACATGCTCAACAACAACCACAGAAATGAGCCCTCGCCATTCCGCTAATTTTGGATGGAGCAATATTTTCAAACTTTTGAAAGAAAATAACCTATCAGGTGGTAACTGTCTACTCAGAGAGTTTGGATCGCTTAGGAGAGAAGATGAAATAGAAGAACTTACAGGAGGAAGGAAAACTAACGATCCCGGAGTCCTGCACTAGAGGAACTTCTGAAAGTCAGAAGAAAAGTATTATCCTATGGGATACTCTGAAATACAAGAGGCATTTGTGCAAAAGAAAATGCAGAGTCTATATTTAATTTTAAATACTATCTGGCTGAAATCAGTATCTTAACTGTGAGATTCAAACACCAAGAGGACTAAAATCCTGTAATTGGGGTTGGGTGCTAGTGAGAGTCCACATTGGTTTGACGGGGAGATCATGTAGTATTTAATGCTCTGAATAGTAAGCCCCACCCCAAAGCATGCGCAACAGCTAGGGGTGTCTTCAAACATCCAGACGGCCATTGGCTTTCTAATTAAAATGGCCACAGAGTTTAGTCAAGCAATTTTTTCTCTTTATTTTTGTTAAATAAGACTCCAGAAAGTATAGTGCAAACACTCAGTAGAAAAGTTGCAGTTAAGAAATGTACATTCACATTTAACGTTTCAATCCATTCACTTTTTTTTAAAATAAAAATAGGACAAATTATTCAATTACTTGTTTCAGTTTAACAATCTTGAAAAAGACTGGAAGGTGCTCTTCAGTGTCCAGTTGACATAAAAATAGACCCGTATTGATTACAAATCTATCACGAGAAGTTACCCGGTGACACTGTGGTACTGTGATGCAGGGTAGTCTCGCTGTGTCCTTCTGCCTACAGACGCATCCTCGCCACGTTCACCTTGTGCAAGAGGCTGACCCCCTGGCCCACACCACTCTTGTCCCACGGGGTGGGGGACCCAGCTCTCCCCAGCCAGAAACAGGTGGACACGGGCACTCAGGTAACTTTTCTCACTGAGAAAGAAAACCCAGGAGTTGATTTCAGGCTTGCCTTAAATCGGGTTGGAGTCACCACTAGGAGAGGGCCACATGGTCATGGCACTGACGTTTTAGGATGTGAGAGGTGTAGGTGGGGGGGACGGTGGCAGGGAGTGTCTGGGCTAAAAGCACACAGTGCCTATTAAGTGCCCAAGCTACAAAGACTCAGGGTCCATGTGGCCTGTCCTGGCTTTCAGGGGATGCTCTGCAGCGAGGCCTGTCCCATTCTGCATGCTGCACGATTCCAGACTCAAAGGTCCACAAGGTAGGAATTTCACAGCATGCAATCCTAGAGTGCAAATGGCTTGTTCGTGTGTGTGCAGTGTCGGCAGGGGTCAAGGCAACGCAGTGGGCGTGTGCTCCTGGTGGTCTGTGTGTCCACACTCCAGGGTGTGCAGGAGGCCCTGTGGGCATCCTTGGGATCTCCACAGCAGGGAAGTTCCCCTGAGACTTGTGCTTTATGTGCCCAGGGCCCAGGGTTGAGCAGGGGGTGCTGGTGGGAGGGAGAGACAAATTCTGGGTGTTGTCAGGCCTGCAGAGACCCCCTGAGCCCGTTCTTACAGCCAGCCCGCACCACCCCACCAGGCCTGGGACCTCCTCGCTCTCCTGGGAGTCACTCCAGGAAGTCCTCTCTGTTTAAACACTAGTTCTCAGCAAGTGGCTCGAGGCGATTTTGGAAAACAACCCATCTGAAAGTTGTCGCTGCTGCCCAGTGCCGAGAGGCAGACAGACACTTGGACCTGCTTGGTGACCAGGCCTGGCTCTCAGCGTCTGTCCTCTGTGCTAATGACCATTCCTGCAGCTCACCCCACACCCTCCAACCCTGGGAACGAACTTGGCCACCCACATCCCACCCACAGCATCCAGCCTTAGCTCAGTGCAGCTCAACACAAAACAGCAGGCAACAACCACCAGGCTTCCTAGAGCCCACGACACCCTTGAACAGCAACTGCGGTCCCAGCACTGCTAAGTGAAGCCTGTGTCCTCGGGGCGGGGGGCACGGCTCTGTCCCTACTTGACGTCAACAAGGCTTTCCAGAAAGATGGCAGCCATCCTCTGTTTCAGGAGATTCTCACATTTTAGGTACTGGTTGTGTTTCAAAAGAAACAAACAACAAAAGCTGTAGACTATAAAGCACAATCTGACAAAGGAGGGGCGCCTGAGGCCTAGCATCTCATTACCTTGCCAGGCTCAGGAGTGTTCCAGGAGGCATGTGGCTTTGCCAAGGTCTGCAGAGCCAGTGAGGAGTGGACACACAGGCTCCCAGGGTCAGGGGGCTGGAGCCACACCCAGCAGCTCTCAGGATGGGGGTACCCTCCTCCACCATGCACACACCTGTGCAACCAGCCAGCATTCTCCATGAGATCCAGCACAGCGTGTGCAGGTTCTGCTCTCTGCATAGAGACCTTTGCTCTAATGGAAAATGCTGGGAACAATGGCACTTAGAGGGGGCAGAACAGAGGCAGGGCTGTTCGATGTGTCCCACAGATCCCCAGAGCCTCTGGGCCTCCAACTGTCTGTGGGCAACACGAGCACTGTCACACCATCTCCTCCACAGGTGGCAGGGGTGCAGGAACCACTCAGGCTCAGCGACTGGGAAGCCGGATTTGGGAACAGAATGAGAGTTTTGTGATTTTATGGTCCCAACAAAAGGCCTACAAGTCCTGCCGCTTCCACTGGATGTGACAGCAACACCACCTTCCCCAGGGCCGATGTGGAGCAAGGTGGACCCTGTTGAAGGGAACTCAGTGACTTCACAGAGGATGAAGTGACAGGATCTGAAGTGACCAGCCCTGTGGGACAGAGGACACAGTGACAAGGCCACGTGGCAGCCACTGTGATCCTCTCTGTCTGATCTTTAAGATGTTTTTTACAGCCATTTGCGAGCCACAACCCAGGAAGGCCACGTGTCTCCTGGTGCCATTGTCCAGGGACACTGGAGACATCCCCAGACCTCAGGCAGCTCTGTACCTGGGGAAGGGGACGTTGGCCCCAGGCTCAGGGCCACTTGCCTCCTCCTTCGGGGCTGTGCCCACACGGAGATCTCTTCACAGGTCCCACATGTGCAAGAAATCCCAAAACCAAAGAGGCAAAAATACAGGTCGAGTTTAGGCCTCAGTGCTGATGTTGCGGATACTTTTAAAATATCAGAGATTCAGCTACTGCTGGTGGAAAGGGCCTCAGGGACCTTGAGGACATCCCCTCAGGTGCCCCTAGGGGTCCCCACCTCCTCTTCCTCTTCCTCGTCCAATGAAAGTTTCAGGTCAGGACACTGCGGGTGGTTTGACCAAACACCCCAGGTGTTGGGCAGCTGGCTGTTTTCTAATCTTGTTCCTTTTATGGATCTACATTAGTCCCGGGAAAAGGTAACTTTTACTTTCCTCATGCTGTGACACGTGCACACATGTGTGTACACATGCACACATACACACATGCAGACACACACTGATTTGAACTAAGCCTGGCCTCTAGTACAGTAATATTTTAAAATGTAATGAATAGATAATTTTAAAATGTAACGCAACTGAATTGCATTAAACTTCCATGGAACCTTAAAAACGCAAACACCCAAGTCTCCATGGCAGCACACTGCTCAGGGACCTCTGTCCCCGAATGTGGCATCCGAACGGTGACGATGGAACGGACCATATGGGTGACAAATCTCACATCCTGCGACTGGATCTGCCTTTGCAGGCTGTGACCACAGGGGGACAAGGCGGGAAATGCCTGGACACTTTTCAGAGTGTCCTGGGGGTCTCGCAAGGAGAGGCAGTCCCTGTGCCTGACATCCCCGTCTGGACCCCATGCAGTCTGGAGTTGTGCTCAGGGCACATGCCCCCATGAGAGGGACCATGCTGGGCACTGCCACCTGCCACACGCTGTCCACACAGTACCAGCTCCTGCAGCTTTCAGCCGGGCCCCCGGGCAGCGGTCATCAGCTGGCTCCATCGGACACAGCTCTGGCTGACTCATCCAGCAGCGAGGCTAAAGTGACCACTCTGCCATGCCCACTCTGCCAACCCCAACACCTGGCCATGCCATTTCCATCAGGTGCCAAAGGGCCATGAAAGGTCCCTGTGCTGACAATTGTTGGGAATCTGAGTTCCTAGAGAGAGACTTCTCTCTGCCCACCCCCCAAATTCAGTGCAAAGGCCCGAGCCACCGAAATGAACCTCCCACACTCAGGCCAACCCTGTCGACCTCTGATCCTGCCTGTGGGGCTCTGACTCCCCCATGTCCTCCTAAGTCCCACGCAGCTCCTCTAACCCACACCTAAAGGGCACGAAGGCAAACCTAACCCCAGGATGCTGTCTGCGCAAACGTCACACACCTGCTCTCACAGCTGGCAATCGACGGCAATGAGGGACACGACGTGAGCTCTCACAACAGAGGCAGCAGGGGAGAGGGGTGCTCCAGGGCCAACAAAAGCTGCACTGTGTTCTTCATTAATTTCACCAAACTTGGTATTTCCAAATCCAATGCCTCTAAGAAGGCCCTGTGTGTGTGTGTGTGTGTGTGTGTGTGTGTGCGTGCATGTGTGAGTCATCGAAGCCATTCCAAAGCCACATCACGTCTGCTTCTGGTGCTACTTTATGCACCCCCATCAGACCTGCAGGTTCACGGAGTGGGAAGCGTGAGCAGCGCTTCCGTGACCCTGCGGGACCCAGGCTATCAGATGTGCGCTGTCCTCCCTGCCAATACAGATCCACCCTTGCCTTGCACACTGAGCTTCCCTGTTGGACTCAGGGCCTTCATGGGTTGAGAACAAAACCCCCAGGACTTGGGGGTCCCAGAGCCAGCCCTGCCCAGGTGGTGTCCTGCCTGCACCTTCAATGTTTCTATTCACACCGCTTATCTCTGACCCGGGCCATGACAGCAAGCAGAGCGCAGTCTTTCTGGGTTGGTATCAGGACTGCAGCGCAGTCTTCCTATGAAATGGAAGTAAAGCCCCGATCGCTGGTTGTTGGCTGTGTCCTGCCCAGGATCCCAATCCTCCGCATCAACCTGGGCACCTGGCCTTTCCTGGCCACCCTCAGGTTCACCCGGGGAAGATGGGCATCCTGCCTGGGCAGCAGCCAGCCCTGGAAATGGCACCTTTTTAATGCCAGACGCTCCTGATCGTGGGAGGCCAGCAATAAGATTCAGGATGGGGAAAGGCTTCAGAGGGTAGGGGCCCTGCTTCCTCCTAAAAAGAGCACAGGGACACCAGCTGCATCTGCTCACCTGCCTGGGATACTGAGCTGGACCCTAGGGACAGAGGCCAGAGCCAGGTCTTTCGGGGCAGTGCATTCCCCCAGGACAAATGCCTATGCATGGCTTGTCTCTGAAAGGCCAGTCTGTGAGGGCCAGACTGGGCTCTACAGCATAGAGTTACGGTTATTGCTTCTTTGACAGAAGGGTCCGGACACCCCATGACCTTAGAGTCTGAGAAACATGGGCTGACAACTGGATTGCTGGGGGTGTGGGGTGTCCAGCTGCAGGACACAGGCACCCCAGGAGTGAACCGGCTTGGGTCGGTGCAGCCTGTGGAAGCCTCTGGAAGCATTCTGTGGCTGTGTTCTACTCTACGTGGCAGGCACGGGAGGCATGCGAAGAGGGGACACAGAGGGACATTTCCCGAGGGCCATGGCATCGCCGAGCAGGCGGGGCTGATGGGGCGGAGCCGGGCTTTTACTCATTTTTGGTACGAGTGCCAGGCAGCACCGGTAAGTGGTGCACTATGTACAGAGCATCTTAAAATAAATCGTTCCAAAAGACTCCTATCCGAATGGCTCTAACATTTGTACATGAATACTGTACAAGATTAAAAATAAATAAGGCAATATAATACAGGTTTATCACAAATAAAAAGGAAATAAGTGGTTTTTCACCAAACCCCAAGGAATGTATGTATGGCTGAATGTGGCTCCTGACCTCAAGGAAGGAGGTGGGGTTTGGAGCTGCTGCTGCTGCTGGAGATGGGGATGTCTGCCTGTGCCAGGCTGCAAGCGGCCCTGCCGAATGGTCCCGTGCCCACAGAGGGCACGCAGTAGCGACTGCAGCAATGCGGACCCAGGCCCCAGGCCAGTGTGGCCACTGCCTTGGCTCTGAGTCTCGAAGGTCGGTCCCACTGTTGCGCAGCAGCTCTGGGTCACTGCTGCTGTCTGTTCAGGCTGTGGCCAAGTTCAGCTCCCAGTGGCTGTGGGAGCAATGACCTTGCTTCTCGCCGGCGGGTCTGGGAGCAGCTGTGAGTTGTCAGTGTCACCTCCTCCTCCATCAGGGCTCAGCCCTGGCCATGCTTTGAGTCTCTCCTGTCCCCTTTCCCACTTCTGAGGGACCGTGTGGCCACAGTGAGCCCACTGGGGCAGTTCAGGGTCCCTTCCAGGCCTCAGACTCCTCCTCCCCTAATCCCATCTGTGAAGTCCCCTTACTGTGTGATGCGACACAATGGGACAGCCCAGCAGCCACACAGGGGCACAGATCCGGAACAGGCTGAGCTGGGAACCCTGCCCTTCCCCACAGCCCACCCATCACCCTGCAACCTCCCTGCTCGCCTGTGCCCCTTCTCAGCTACCTCTTCACATCTGGTGGGGAGACAGAGAAGAAAACCCCAGTGGGATGGGGGCGACAGAACCCAGGCCCGCAGGTGGCAGATGCTCTGGGCAGGGTCTCAGGCCACGGCTCAGTCACAGCTGATGACCAGATGACGTTGCCAGGCCTCAGGAGCATCCTCCTGGCCCCTGATGGATACCCCGAAGACAGGGAAGCACCTGAGAACATCTCCCATACACGGAGATGCCAGGACCGTGGGCTGTCCCCACCTCCGTCCCGAGTCACCTGGGGCCCATGGTCAGTCTACCCCAAGCATCACCCTAGTAGCCACACAACTGGGTCTGGGACCCATCCAGAGGCAGTTGGGGGAGCCCCACAGCCAGGAAAGGACAGGGCTCGGCCCACCTGCTCTCCACAAGCCACGCCGGCAACCTTTCCTCTGGATGTCCCCTTGCCAGTGCACCTACCTAGACCATCCCCCAGCCCTGTTTCCAACTGCCCCCTCCCCTGGAGCAAGGACAGAGGTCTCCAGGAGCCAGGCTTGCTGGCAATTCCAGCCGGTCCCTCCCTACCGCTCTGCCGGTCCCCCGTCACCCACTTCTTGTCTTCATCTCCGCTGGTCACCAGGAAGCACAGGTGAGAGGTCCCGGGTGTCAATGGGACCACCTGCAGCCTCTCTGCACACCGCAGCAGGACCGCCGGATGCAGGACCACATTCTCTGCAAACGACCACGTCCCCCAGAGGGCCAGTGGTGTGGTGCCAGGGACACGATGTCTTCCTTCCAGGAACCTGACTTGTGGGTGTATGAAGTCACGTGTTCTCTGCGTAAATGGAGTCTGAGTTGTCATCCTTCACCCAGGACCCCACAAACCTTGCAGAAAGCAGGAAAGGCGCCCATTCTCCTGGGAACAGTCACGTGCAGGTGGAACCAGCCAAGCTGTCACAGGAGCCAGGTGGGACGGCAGGGCAGGGGACACAGACAGGAGAAGCAGCTGGTGCTGGCTGAGGATCCAGAAGACTGGCCTCTGGCTCACAGCATAGATCTGCTCTCGAGGAAGCCAGCGGCCCCTCCCCAGACAGCAAGAGGTGACCTTGCAGTGCTCCCCATACCGTCCTGTCCCCAACACCACTGGCCTGTGCGCACCTGGACCTCTTGTCCTGGCGCCAACTGGGGGCTCACTTGTGGTGGCTCCTCTGTCCTTCGGCCAGCCAGACCTCCACAGCAGACCTCCTCAAAGTCCCAGTGCCCACGCCGGCCAGACCCGGGCAGGTCGGGGTGGCACGGCGTGGCTCCTGTCGGCCCTTGCCCAGGCCACACGTGGACAATGCTCCTTGTGCAGCCCGGCCACTGGCTCTCTGCTCTGCTCATCTGGCTGGTCCTGGCTGGGGCCGTGGTGGCCCATGTCGCCCTGCATGTGCCTCCCAGACCTCCTCAAAGTCCCAGTGCCCACGCCGGCCAGACCCGGGCAGGTCGGGGTGGCACGGCGTGGCTCCTGTCGGCCCTTGCCCAGGCCACACGTGGACAATGCTCCTTGTGCAGCCCGGCCACTGGCTCTCTGCTCTGCTCATCTGGCTGGTCCTGGCTGGGGCCGTGGTGGCCCATGTCGCCCTGCATGTGCCTCCCGCGGCCCACTGGTCCTGGCTGGGGCCGTGGTGGCCCATGTCGCCCTGCATGTGCCTCCAGCGGCCCAGGTGGGTCCACTAAGCCTCCTTCCCTGCAGCTGTGGACGGCAGGTACGGGCCTGGGGGTGCTGGGGGGAGCCTGGCCCTGGCTGCAGGGCACAGCGGGGGCCGCCTGGCCTGGCCTCCAGCTCCCCCATAAGAACACATCCTCCGCTCCAGGTGCATGGGCCGTGCGTGGACACCGTTCCCATCAGTCCTGCCTTCAAGAAAGTAGGTCAGCATCTCCCCCTTGCCCTTGACGCTGACCTTGCCTCGGCACACGAACTGGTAGGGACACTTCCGCAGCAGCCTGTGGACTTCCTCGGTCACCTGTCAGCCGAGAAAAGCCAGCATCACCCTCAGCAGTAAACGGTGGAGGGGTCCTCAGTGGCAGGACCAGGGAATGTGGAGGGGCCTGAGGGGCCACCCAGGAAATCCTACTGCCCATTCCCTGGACAAATGGAACCCAATCGGGGCCACTGGGCAGGGACCTGGCACCAGGGTCTTGGTGGGCCACCAAAGCATCTCTGTGCCCTTGTCACAGGCAGAAAGGCAGAGGACCAGGCTGGCCCTGAGCACAGTGGAGTCCGAGCTTTCAAGCCCCCCCACCGGAAGGGGTGCCCTCAGGTGCCAGGGATGGATGCCATTGCCTCTGGGTTCCAGGTGGGGATCACCAGCACAGAGGCTGGTGGCAAATTGGCAGACACAGCTCCCCTTTCTCTCAGATCTCCAGCTAGTGCTTTAGCTCAAAGAACTCCCAAGCCTAGAAGGAGGAGGAGGAGAGGTTCCCCTATGCAGCAGAGCCAGGACTGGGGCTCCCTGCTTCATCCCGCCACTGCTCTCCCACACCCCGACCTCGAGATGGTGCCTAGCAAATGCACACGTGGGGGACACACGAGTGCCCAGCCTGGTGGCTTCTGCAGCAAAATGAGGCCATGGCACTGGATGCCAGGGCCTGGCATTTTGCTCAGACACTGAGGCAAATGCTCACAGCTCCCAGGGTCCTCAGGTGACCCATCAAGACCAGTGCCCAGCAGAACACAGCACGGCAACGGTGGCCACTGAGGTTGGGGTCAGCCAGCCCTGCCCATCCATGGTCTGTCAGTGCCCCATTCATAGTCCCCAAGGAGCAGCGTGGTCGTGCACAGGGATGGCACTGTCCGTTCAAGGCCCTGCAGACTGCAATTCACAGACAGGTGGCAGGAGGCTCACACGACCACAGGGCCTTCTCTGAGTGTCTCAGGGCAGATTTCATGCTACTCTAAGGGAAACTCTAAAAGCTGAGTCAGCCCCACCCTGAGGGAACGCAGAGGCCACTATCAGTGGTGCTTAGAAGGCGTCACAGCCACGGGATCTTGTCCTGCCCATGTGGCCCAGCCTCTCGGATGCAATGCACATGTGCAGTGCCCGCCCTCCCCCATACAAGCAAAGCCTCTTCCCTCCTGTGACAGCCAGGCCAGGAGCCCCAGGACGAGGAAGGAGAGCAGCCAGGCCACTCAGCTTCAGGGCCCAATCCTGTGACCCAAAGGGGCACCTGGCTTTGCCTACCCCAGGCTGCAAGCCCAGACTGCCCTCCAGGGGCTGCCAGCCTGCAATGCCATGTTCTCCATGCTGCCTGCCACCGCAGACCTAAGGATCACCACTGGTCTCCACACCTGCAGAATGAGCACTGTGTCTTAGGGTTCCTGGGTGAACTGACCTGGATCCTGCCCTGCACCCCGGTGCTGTCCATCCGACTGGCCACATTGACCGTGTTTCCCCAGATGTCGTACTGGGGCCTGCGTGCGCCGATCACCCCAGCCACCACTGGACCGACATTGATGCCTGGAAAACAGTCACGACTGTCAGTGTGACCACTGACCCTCGGGTCTCATTCTCTAGGTCACCTGTGTCCCCCAGGGACCGGCTCTGACCCCAGCCTCACAGAGGGGTGGTGGCACCTGTCCCAGAGTCCCCTACATGCCACCACACAAATGCTGCCAAGGCAACTCCTACCCCTCAGCGGTACCCCAGGCCCAGCAGCACCAGGCTGGACGTGGCTGAGGCCCTGCTCTATGACCACAGTATGTCCCCAAGTGTGCCCTCCTTCCGAATATATTTATAGCAGCTCCTGCCTTTTCTTAGGATGCAGCCTCTGCTTTGGGGTGTGGGTCCGAGAAGACAAAACAGTGTTCAAGGGCTCTGGGGGAGGGAACAGGGCCCCCTCCTCCCTCTGTCATCAGGCCCAGGTGCTGAATCACCACTCAGGAGACTTCTGTAGAAGCGCTCACCCTCTGTGCCTCAGTTTCCTTCTCAGTAAATGGGGTACACATGCCCTGTGCTGCCTGCCCTGGCCTCCAGGGGGCAGTGTGTGGTCTCTGCCATGGCGCCCTGGTAGCCCACTGGAACCAGTGCTGCCAGGCTGAGAGATACCCACCCTATGTTCCTCTCTGTGCACATGCACTGACTTCTCTGAGCTTGACTGCGTAGCTTTCTTAGAAATCAAGATCACTCGGGGCTACCCAGGAAGGAGCATGGGAAGCCAGAGGACATCCAGAGGCCCCGGAGGACCTGTGTCCAGCCCCTGGCTTGTCCAGCTGTGGAGAGACATCTGCAGGGCTCACTGGCTGGCTCCAGGACATCTACGGATCAGAGCTCACATGCTGGGGAAGAGGACAGGACCTGTCGTGAAGGCCAGGAGATGTCTGAGTCGCAAGACAAGCACAACCTCTGGCTCTTCGGAACCCGGTTCCAGAAACAAAGAGAGTTGCCTAGCAGGGAGTTCGTCTGATAAACTGTCTACACCTCAGAGAAAGGTAAGTTGTGTCTCATAAGTCAGACCTGATCTTTGGTCCTAAATCCCTTTCTGAAGTGTCCCTGCTTCCACAAGCTGCTTTCTGAGCCAACACTGTCCCGACTGCTGCATGGGACAGGATGGGCATTTTTCATCCCAGAGCCACCTACCAACTCGGAGGACAAAGTCGTTGTAGGACTGGTAGTTGATTTCATCCAGGACATCAAACATCTCAATGGCAAAGTCGGCCAGCGTGCAGAGGTGGGAAGAGATGGACTTCTTAGCCTAGGCGGGGCAGATGGGAGTGTTGCTTTGGGGGGCTATCGGGGCCGGAAGGGTGCAGGGACCAGCTGCACTGGCTCTGGGACTAGGATTTGACTCCCACCAAAGCCCCAGAATCTCCTGGCAGCCGGCTAGACACATATTTACTTTCCCAGTCTACAGGACGAAGACTGAGGCTGAGAGTCCAGGCTGTGCCCGGGTGGTGGTGTGGGTGTGGGACACAGGTGTCCAGGCTCCTGCTCGGACAACACTGTCACTGCCCATTGCAGGAGAGCAAGACAAGGACATGGGGCCTCTGCCACAAGCGGCACCCACTTCCTCCCTGGGGTCTGAGGCCCTGCATTAGCGCAACAAGGTCCTGTACTTTGTGAAATGGTGACAACTGTAAGGTTTCTAATTTTTATCTTTTTAAGGAAATTTTATTAGTCCTACATTTTATATGAGTGTAGGATGGCACTGAATGATTTTCCTGTATCACTTGATACGGTCCTATGGATTTTCTTCTTTATTCTGTTGATGTGATAAATCCCATCCACTCATTTTGGAAATCTGAGTTTTCTGTATCTGAAAACATCCCACTTTGTCTTGGTTTATAATTCTTTGTATTCATCACTGAATTCAGTTTGCTAACATTGGTGGAGGACTTATGCATGCCTATTCACAAGAAAGACTGGTCTGCAGCTTCCCTTTCTTGTGATGCCTTTGTCTGGCTTTGCTGAGGTGACACTAACCGTGCAAAATGTGTTAGGAAACATTCCTGAGGTTTCTACCTTCTGGAAGAGATTGTAGATAACTGGTATCATGCTTTCCATAATTGCTTAGAAGAATCCCCAGTGAACGCACCTGGGCCCTCTCCTTTCTGATCTGGAAGCTTACTCATGATTGGAACAGTTTTGGTAATAGCTCCTGGCCTTTTTGGATCACTTACCTGACTCATTTCATGATCCTGCTCTGGGGAGGAAGAGCACTCGATGGCATGGGGCTGGTGGGCAGGAAGGAGAGTCACAGGGCCTTGGGAGCGGGGCTAAGGGCCAAGGAAGCCACTGTGATGGCCCTGTGTGACCTTGCTAGGAGACAGTGTCCCCTAAGAGCCAGCCACTGCCGGATCAGCCTAGGACCCACTGCCCTAAACCACGGCAGGGAAAACCCTAAGTTGAGGACCTCCTTAGGACCTGGTGGCCAGCTGGGCAAGGCTGACAAGACTCACCCTGCTCCCCGCAGTGGGCGCCAGCCCCACTGCAGCCATGTACGTGCTTCCAATGGTCTTGATCTTCTCTAGGTCCTTGTAAAAGTCTTTTTCCATGAGCTTTGTATAAAACAGAAAACTCTGTTAATCATGAGGAGACATTTGAGGGGCGTCGCTGCTGCCAGCACATCCCAGGCAGCACCTCAGCCTCTTCCTGCTGGTATCAGACAGGATCTGGGGGTGCATTTGAAAGAAGAGTGGAGGGGGGCAGCCCGGCACCTGCCTCTGTTCCCACAGCCATGCTCACGGCCACCTAGGAAGATGTGGTCTCCAGCCATGGGGACAGAGACACAGACACGGTGCCAGCTGGGGAAGCACCTAAGCCACCAGCCTGTCCCTGTGAGGAAGCCATGCTGTCCCAGCCACCACCGATGTTAAGCCCTAGGGTGAGAACCTCATCCCCAGCCTAGCGCAAGGCCCTCCTCTCTGTTACGGTAGATCTAAACCTCAAGCGAGACAGAGTGAGTCCGCCTCTGGGGCCCTGCTTGCTCCCTGTCCATCTACAGAGAAGGGGGCATGGCGGAGGACACAGCAGACACCTATAGGATCTGGCTGGGTGAAGGAACAGCCTCGTCACCCCCAAGATGATGGCACAGCTGCCTCACCTCATCAAAGTCAGCGATGATCTCGTTGAGCAGCCGCAGACACTCCACGCCCATGTTGTTGCCGTCCAGCTCAATGTAGAAATCGTTGAAGTTGGGGATGGATGCAAACATGACACCCACCTGGGAGTAGGACTGGTAATACAGGTCCTGCAAGGGCACAAGGGTCAGCGGGCTGCAGGACCAAGTCCAGTCCACACACAGGGTGGGCCAGGGTCTCCAGGGCACGCAGCCCCACCCTCCTGGAGCAGGGGGCACGAGATGAATGGGACAGCAGAGAGAGGGACCTCAGGAAAGCCACATGCTACTCAGGTTACATGAGAATGAGCAGCCAGAAGGACAATAAAAAAATGTGCTGTGTGTTTAATGTTTTAAAATTACAGTTAAAACATGTTTCCAGGAGTCCCCTCAAAGTGCTTCTCCTCACTCTGAACACACTCATCCCATCATGTTTGCTGCTTTCTGAAGCAGCTCTGGAGTCCTCTTTCTTGAGTGTCTATACAAGGTTGATGAAAAGTATGGTGAACACTGCCACTGAATGCCCTCCAACGGAGAGACCAGCTCATAAAAACACGACGCTGTGTCCTCCTCTGCTTACTCACCACAGCTGGCATTGCGTGGCTTCCCGGCTCTCCTCCAAAGTCAAAATGACCATGAAAGGGAAACATTTTGAATCAATTCAGGACATCAAGGCAGCCGTGGCAGCCCAACTACAGACTCTCAGGAATGTTAGGATAAGCATGTTTGCAGTGAGGGAGAGTATTTTGAGAGGGATTTAGGACAATGTATCTTTTACTGCAATATTTTTTTTTAATGTAAAGATCCACTGTATGTTTTGATCACACCCCATATTTCAGGTTGAAGCTGAACCTTGAGGTTTCATTCCTGCCTATAAGACCTAAATAGCACCGAAATATCTTCATGTTTGACATTGGTCATCATAAGCACATGCTTTGTACCACTCTGCCAGCTGCAGCTCAGTACTGCATCTGGCTGGCCAGTTCTCAGAAGCTCCGGTCACCCCACATGTAGCAGGCACCACGAATGGAGGACTCTCCACCTACTTCAAGCAGATGTCACAAAGTACATCACCCCACAGCTTGGCACACTCTGTTTTTTAAGGTATATGCTGGCTAATAATTGGCCCTCAGGGAAATTCCACATAAACTGTTCAGAGAAAGCTTTTCCTCTCCGCACGTGTTTTACTGAAGTTCAGCGCTCGCTCTCTCCCCCTCTCTCTCTCTCTCTCTCTCTCTCTCTCTCTGGTGCAATGAAAGCTACGTTCCGTTCATAATCAAACAGGAGAGGAAAAGTAGATGAAAGCAAACCTGCCAGCCTGGGACTGGGGAGGCCGGAGCTCTCTGACGTCCCCTGTGCCGAGGCCAGGAGCTACACCTGCTAAATTAAGTCCAGTTGCAGGTGGAGCCAAGAGAGGGCGCTCCGAGCTGGACTCGGTACCCCAGCAGCCCTGCACACCCCGGAAGGGCCAGCGTGCGGCCGGGTGCTCACCATGTTCCGAGGGTTGGACATGAGGAAGTGCTGTGCAACGTGGGCCGGCAGGAGGTTGAAGAGGATCCGCTTGTTGTCCAGCTTCACCCTCTCCATGTCATCCCGCTCCTCTTCTGCCTGGGGGCGGCAGGGTCATGAGTCTGGGCGTCTACACCACCCTCGCCCGCCACCACAGCTCGCCTCTGATCACCCACACTGGACCCCGGGGCTGCTGTTGGCCCACACCAGGGCTCTCCTCCTCGGCACAGGGATGGGTTCACAGACATCTGAGAAAGATGCAACTCCTCCCCACTTCCAGGGTCTGCCCTGCCCTGGGGACCGCAGGCTCACACCCACCCCCACTGCACCAGTTCCAGGGGCCCCCAGGTCTGCCTCACTCAGAAGGCCCAGTGCCAGGCAGCAGCCACCTCCCAGTGCCAGGAGGGTCAACTGGAGCCTCACTGGCCTCCACCAGAGGCCCGCTTCTCTCCGCCACTGAGAAGATGCTCTGGGGACCCAGCTAGGGTGGATGCACGAACCAGCTCCAGAACCAGGGGGCCCAGAAGGAGACAGCAGGACCCAGCTAGCCCCAGCCGCTCCTCAGCAGCTGATGACAGTGACAGTGTCCGCCCCATTTGTGAGCACCGCGAGGGACAGAGGACCAAGTCTGCATATACGGGCACCAAATTCCTCAGTGTCCTTTGCACAAAACCTGACCCACGGAAGGAACACAACCTGGGAAGCAGCTATGTGTGGTGCCTATTTACAGGCACCAGATTCCCGAGTGCAGGAGACGACTCAACACCACCCTTACTGCAGGCCCGGGGCCCTGAATGCCAGCTGCTTCTCCCCGGGCTACAGTCTCCTTGTATACAATAGGTCAATACAGCCCCCACCTTTATTTCAAGGTCTAAAAAGTGAAGTCTGTTTGGGTGGGATTTTTAGGAGCAGCGTGGAGTTGCCACGCTCATCCAGAGCAGGAATGTAGGGGCTGAGAAGTTCAAGGCCAGATGTGGGCACTGAGATCCAAGGGCACCAGGCGGGCTTGAGCAGGTCGGAAACCAGGTCAGTGCAGACAAGACCCATGAGGACCACAGCACACAGGGACAAAGAAAGTCATCTAGGCCACAACCTCTGGGCCCAGCAGAGCCAGTCGCTGGCCACTCAGACGGGCTGGCACTCAGCCTGTAAACTGAAGGCACAGCCATGGGCGGCCCTCCAAGGGACTCAGGGCCCTGGCTCGTGATGGAAAAAGAAACAACAGACAGGAGCAAAGGACAGCACTGCTTGGGGAAGGCAGCACTGCTCCCGCAACAGCTGTGGCTTGGCCTTGGTTTCACTCAAAGATCAACAGCCTCTGGTTTCCAACCTCTGGCTGTCTCCTCACCTCTTGCTCCCGTCTATGTAACATTCCCTACGTGTCTCCTCCTACACAACACCTACCACTAGTTACCTGTCAGCCCCTCCCACTCGAGTACGCACTAAAGAAAAAATTATATATGAAGGGGGATAAAGAGGAAGGAAATAATACATATATTTTTACTAGCAGTTCTCATACCCAGGAGGAGGCTGAGGCAGGAAATCACTGAGTCTGTGGCCAACCTGGGCTACACAGTGAGTTCAAGACCAGCCTGAACTACATAGCAAGACCCTGTCCCAAACAAGCAAACAAACAAACAAATAAATAGGAATTAAAAGCATAACAGTTCTATGTAGTGGTGGCATAAAAATTTTACTCTCTCTGAAATATTACATTAATGTTGATAATATTTTAGTGACTGAAAACGCTTCTATTAAAAACAAAATCTTGGCTGATCAAAGTAGGTCTGAAAAGATCTGACTATGTCCATTTGGATCCAGGGACTGTCAGTGTAGCTCTTTCCTAAGATGTTATTATGTGTTTTGTTTGTTTGTTTTGAGACAGGGTCTCACTTTGTAGTTGAGACTGACCTGAAACTCACTATATAGCCCAGGCTGGTCTCCAACTCACAGTGATCCTCCTGCCTCAGCCTCCTGAGTGGTGGGATTACAGGCATGCGCCTCCATGCCAGCTGTTATTACGCTTTGAATTCATTCCCAGACGTAAAATTTTTGTTGCAATTTGGCTGATAAACATCCAACCTCTCCAGCAGAAGACCCTGAGTTATCTTGTATTTTTCTAATAAACAAGATAAAAATCTACTGAAATTCTCTATTTATAAGATTTTCCAACCAGCAGGGGAAACACCAGCATTTTCAAGAAAAGTGCTGCTAGGGTGGCACAAATCCTCCTGTAGTACACAGCATCACAGGACAAATCACAACTTGTGGGTTCAGAATGTTTGTTCTCTCTGGGGCAGATTCTTGCAAAAGCTTTCCCTTATTACTCGTGCTTACACTGTAGCAATTATCAACCAGAGTGCACTCCTCAAACCCTCTATGACATTCCAGAGAGGTCAGAGCCCAGTGTGCTTCGGTTTTGGAAAAAAAGAACAAAACAAAACAACAGCAAACAGCCCCATGTGACAAGTCCCTGGGATGTTGGCATGTGCTGTGGCTCTCAGCGTCACCCTGACAAAGCATCCTGGGCCAAATGAACGGGACGGGGCAACCCCAGCCTGGCCCCTGGGGTCAACACCCAGGCCGGGACAAGGGCACAGCCCTGCACAGGCCCAGCCAGGAGTTCCATGGGTTCCAGCCAGTTGGTTCTTATACTGGGACGCCCATGAATCAGCCAGGGTCCTGGAGGGGAACTCAGTGTTCTTTGGGCACCACCACTGTTGGGAAGAGCTTGGAAAGGGGTTGAGATCAAGCACTTCTGGCCCTCAGGGTAGAGGAACAGGCTTCTAACTTTGGGCCGATGGTCTCCTATTACCTTCCGTCAATAACTGATTTTCAGGGAACCACCTGGTCACCCAGATCAGAGACAATGCACACTGCTGGCACCCTGCCCGTTGGGTAGATGCAGCCTAATACAAGGGTGGCCCTGACCAGGGAGGTGAGGTGGGGTGCATGTGTCCAAAGAAGCCCTGATATCAAGGAGCCCTGGAACACGGGGGGACCCCCAGAACAGACTCCAGTGGTCTCTCCTCCTCCCTGGAGGGTTATAGTGAAAAGAGAAATAAATCAATACAATTCATGCTATCTAAATCTTGGAAGCAGCCTATATGATGATATCAACAGATGAATGGATAAAGAAAATGTGGTGTTTATACACAGTGGAATACTACTCTGCCATAAAGAAGGATAACTCTGAATCATTTAAAAGAAAATGAATGACCTTGAGAAATAATGTTGAGTGAAATAAATCTTTTGTTTTGTTTTGGTACTGGGGATCAAACTCCGGTCTTTGTGGTTGTGAGGCAGGCGGCAGCACCACTGAGCTAAATACCCAGCCCAAGCAAAATAAATCTTAAGTGCCACACAAGCGTAAATACCACATGGTTTCTTGATAAATCCAAAGTATAAATAAAGATCAAAATAGAAGACAGATAACAGGAAGTAAGGACACAGATCTTTCTCAAAGGGGAAGGGGATCAAGAGATGGAGAGAAGGAAGAGAAAGAACATGAAAAGGAAGTAAGATTGTGTTATGTACACATACAAACTCCACACATATACCAGTACAAATATACAAAAAATACCAATGTTTTAAAAATCAATATTGATCGCTTCTCGGCCTTTTGGCTAAGATCAAGTGTAAAAATCAATATTGACTTGGATGCTATTTACATTAGTTAAGCAAAGACAATAAAACATTTACTAGGAATACATTCCATACATTCAAGAAAAGAAACTAATGTTTAATACAAAGAAGATAGGAAAAAGACTCTTATGTAACTTCTGGAAAACTGTAACATTTGATATAGAAAATGAAGCTAATGGTAGATTAAATGCTGCAGTAGAAAAAAATACTAAATTTGACACAGTTGTAAAAAAATATCAAAAATGAAACACAGAGGAGAAAAGAACAAAATAAATGAACAGAGTATTAAGAAAGTGTGGGATAACCTCAATAGGCTTCATGTGTGTAACGAGGGTCCCTGAAGAAGAAGAGAAACAGAAAGGAGGGAGAGATGATAGAATAATATTGGAAGAAATAATGCTATGATCTCACTGTTTCGTGAAATTATAAAGCCAAAGGTCCATGAAACTCAACAAAACCCAAGCACACAAAGCATGGTAGAAACTACATCACAGTAGTGTATAATACAAAGGCTTCTGACAGATGGACACAGATATTCACCCCACTGTAGACATATTCTGTGGTGAGGTTCTTACACTACGTGTGAGGTCAGAGACCAGCACTGGAAGATGGATATATTAGACACCTATTAAAATAATACAGTAAAACAATACAGCTAATAAGAAAAATAATAGTAACAATCACACAAAGCAGAATAACAAAAATAACCCCAAACAGGCAGAAAAAGATGAATGAGAAAACAAAGTACAATGGGGTCCATAAGGAACAGCAAGATGGTAGACTAAAACTCAATCATAACAATAGTTACATTATAGACAGTCTTAATAGAAGGAAGAAGCTGATAAACCGGGTTAAAAAAAGCAAGACTCAACTGTATGCTGCTTAGAAGAAACCTACTTTGACTAAAAAGACATAAATAGGTTAAAGATAAAATGTTGTCAAAAGATACAATCAGAAGCTGGATTATTTATATTAACATCATAATACACTGTGGAGGTAAGGATATTACCTGGGAAAGAAGCTTTTTTTCTATAATGTAAGAGGGTGATAAAGGGTAAATTTTATCTATAGGGTATAATTCCAGATAGTAATGTACCAGATCATCAAATTACACAAAGCCAAAATCGAGAGAAGCACAAGTTCTACCTGTAATTATAGCTGGAAATCCCAACACACCTCTCAAAAATGTATACAGTAACAACATAGAAAATCAACCAGTTGACTTAACTACAATTTCTAAAGCATACCACCAAACAGTGACAGGACACATGTTCTACGCAAGAGCACAGAATACAGACATACAACAAGTCTCAAGAAATTGAAAAGGATTCAAATCACACTGTGTCTATTCTTGGGCCACCATATAATTAAATTAGAATTCAACAACTAAGACACAAAATCCTCAACTAAAGAACATACTTCTTAAGGCTTTTGGTTCAAAAAAGAAATCAAAGGGAAATTTAGAAAGTGATTTGAACCAAAGGAAAATGAAATGACATTAGTATTCTAATATTCATGGAATTCATCTAACATAGAACTTACAGACAAATTCATAACACACAGCATTCATTTTAGAAAGAAGGACAACTCTCTCAAATCGCCTAGGAAAATAACATAATCAAATCCAAAGTAACCCAAAGAAACTAAGCAATGCAGACGGATTTCTATCAATATTAAAGGGATCATAGGGAACACTAGAACCAATTTTATGTCAAGAATATAGACAACTTTCAAGAAAAACGTTAAACTTCAAAGCTACTTCCAAAAAGATATGGAAAACCCAAATAGTTGTATATCTTTAGAAAAACTAAAGTTGAGAGTTCCCTCAGCAACCCACTAACAACGCCTCCAAGTTGGAAGGACTTTGTGCCACCAACCAGTTGAGGAGGAAACACTGCACAGTCCTACTGAGAGTCTTCCCAAAAAAAAGGGCAAGGATGGAAGAGTCCCTCCTCGTTCTGCTGTGATCCCAAAGCAGAGGGAGACAATGCTAGGGCGTGGAGCAGTCTGTCCCCATGGGTTAATGTGTTAGGGCTGGGGGTTCCAAGGGAGGTTCTATCTGCAACTGTGCTGGGACCAATCCACGTGCAATGTCCTTCTCAAAGTTAGTGATGCTACCAGCAGAATTAGCCTCCCATCCAGGACTTCTGGGCAGACAGTAACTGCATGGATACTAATGAACATAAGCATTGACATTATAATTGGCAAGGTGATTATCTACCAAGATCAGAGAAAATAACAGCCTGAGGACAAACACACCCCAACAGATAAAGACAAAGAGGTTAAGGATGTCATCATGAGGGAGAAGCCTATCTATCTATGCAAGTTTGTATGGCCAAGCTGGTCTCCAAAAACAATTAACCCGTCCAGCCTTTGGCCTGAACACTGAGCGATAGTTTGGGGGCTCTGATGCCTGCATAACCTGCCTAAATGTCACACAATCTAAAAAGTTCTGTCTTAGCTGGGTTATGGAAGTGAGGCAGTATTTCTTTCTATGTGTCTATGGAAAAAATGTCAGTGTGCTCCAGCTAGCAACCCTTCCACCCTGACCCGTGTGCCAGTGGACCCCTGTGAGATCCATGCCCTGAGTCTGCAGCTGGGTGATGGCGGGGAATGGTGCATGGAGCATCACATGGTGAGGTCACACCTTGGCTCTAATCACCTCTAAATACTGCATTTAATACCAGATATGACAATGTAACAACCAAAGCCAAGGAAAGGCCAGGCCAACCCAGATGAGAAAAAGAACCTCCCCCAGGGCGCATACCTAACTGGGGGTCACAGCCAAGGCTTCCACCCACTTGCTGAGAGTTCAAGGCCCACTAGCACCCTAGTGAATCACCATACCAACCCCCATCTTGCGGTCTCTCTGTCCCGGCTTCCTGGCCCTGGGGGGATTCACACCCAGGGATTACACTGGGGAGGACAGTGGATGGCAGGGCCAGCTGGTCTTGGGCCACCCCGCTGGATCACATCTGACAGCAGGCAGAGCTGGACAGAAGCTGGTGGCACAACCTACCCCAAAAAGGCTGTCCCGTTACCTGGCATGGCTCTGGCTGACTGCAGCTGGCCAAGGCTCCTTTCCAGGAACCCCTGCAGCCAGCTGCTCCCCATGACCTGACCAGGGAGGTCAGGTGACCTGGACAGTGCTGACCAGCAGGCACCCTGGGCCCTGCTTCCTGTTGGGCTGGGTCAATGGGGAGCACCCACAGGATTCATGACTTTTAGCCAAGGGACAGCATGGTATGACTGAGCCAAGAGAGAGGCCCAGCACAACTCCTTCCCTCACTCCAGGCCCAACCACAATGCTAAGTAGGGAATTCCAGTCATGCCAGGCAACCTGGATTAGGGGTTTTGCCCCACTTCCCAGCTGGAGGGAGGAGAGTTTGGCTGATCACTGCCCCTAGGAAGTGGCTGGAACTGGGGGCCAGGACACCTATGCCAGGCCCAGCCTCCACTGCTCCTGCTGCTACTGACCAGGGTCTTGGTTCTCACTGCACTGCCGCTCAGCCTCAGCCGTGAAATGCCTGGCACCCTCAGCTCATGTCCATGGTGAGCCCCTGCTGCTTCTGGCCCCAGCTCCTCTCCACTGTCCTCCAGCTGCACCCATCTGGGTTCACAACCCTAAACCCAAGCAGGGTCCCTGCAGTCCTGGCCGCAGACTGGAGGCTCTGGGCTGCCAGCCCTCCTGCTCCTCTGGCCCCAGACTCTTCACACCAGGGGATCAGAGCCCACTTGGAGTCTCACGGACAGCCCTGGGTCCCATCTCAGCCACCTACGGCTGCTCAGCCCTGGCACGTCCATCTGTGTCCCCATCTTCTCACGTGTAACCCCCCTCCCTTCGAGGGAATGCCACAGCTTCAAGAGCAGAGACTGTTGCTAAATTGTATGCATAAGAAGACTGTCTCCCAGCCAGGCCTGTCATCCCAGCACTCTGGGAGGCTGAGGCAGGAGGATTACCAAATTCAAGCCCAGCTTGGGTGACTTAGTGACTTAGACACCCCCTGTCTCAAAAAGATTTAAAAAAAAATCATCTCGCTAAAGCCAAGATCCCTCAGCCTTCATCGGCAGGTGGGGAAAGCAGGACAGCTCTGTAGACAGGATCAGGGCCTGCATAACCCGGCCAGAGCCCACTGCCTCACAGCCCACCGACCTTCAGGGCACAGGGTAGCTGGGGTAGAACCCACACTGGTGCCAGGTGCTGCCCTCCCTGCTGAGTCTCCCACAAGGCTCCCCTGGCCTCCTGCCAGAATCCTCAAGAATTCAGATTCCCAGTCCTATGGGACAGAGGCCCCCCTCACGCCCCCAGAATCTCGTCCCCTCGGAACATCACCACCACCTCTGCCTGGGACGGAGACTCACTGCCACTCAGAACAGCCATGCCGACCCCAGCTACCCGCTCACTGCCCCACAGCCCCTGCGTGCTCTTCCCCAGCACAGTCCCGCTGCCCAGCCCCACCGGGCTCTGTCCACCCCAAGCTGCAGGCTGGAGAGCTGCAGGCAGTGACTCCCCTCCCACCCCAGAGGCAGAGAGCACCCATCTTGCCTGCGCAGCCCAGAGGTAGTCCAGCCGCAACCTGACGTCCACCTGCCTGGCATGCAGGGCCAGCGTGCAGGAGAAGAGCAGGATGGCCATGATGGGCTCGTAGCTGCGTCCAGAGAGGGCTCCGCCCCTGGGGAGACAAAGGAGGAAGCCCCAGTGGGTGTGGGGCCATCGTGCCCTGAAGACAAAGGTTTTGTGCCCGGAAGGACCAGGACCCAGGCTGCAAGTCTGAGTGTGCAGACCTGGATGAGGAGGAGAAACGGCAAAGCCACTAACTCAGGCCTTTGCCAGAGTCCTTATATACCAGCACACCAGCAGCAGCTCTACAGAGCTTACATGGAGGTCGCCAGTAATGCCGCTGGCGTTCAGGCCCCAAGGAGCTCCACTCACCCTGCCTTGGTGTAGCCGCTGAGCTCCAGGACAAGGATGTAGGATGTGGTGAGCCCGGACAGCAGAATCATCTTTGGCAAGGAGGACACCCTCAGGAATATGGCTAGTGGGAGGGTGCCCACCAGGCAGCACAGCAGGGCATGGTGGGCAGACTCACAGGGCAGGGCAGGCAGCACAGTGCGCCGGCCGCCGGCTGCCAGGACCACCAGGGAGCTGTTGGACTTGGAGCTCCAGGCCCAGGGCAGGCAGCCCACCTGGGGAGGGATGGGCACAGGGCTCAGGAAGCAGGAGGAGCCCTGGTCTCCCAGCACCCCCAACCTCACTATAACCACCCACCAGGCCCCACCAGGCCCCCAGGATCCCACACACTGCCCACACACTGCAAGGGCTCCAGCCAGCTTCTCCCCAAGCCGGAGCTCCCACTGTCATCATCGCCCCTCTGCCAGCTGGGAGCCCGCAGTGCTCACCACACATCCTTGGGCCACGGAATAGATTAAGACCACGATGAAAACACACAGGACAGTGCGGATCTGGATGGTCAGGCACCCTGGAAAACACTGGGAAAGAAGACATTTTGCTTTTAAACTATTTGATCACAAAGTGGATCCAAACACACAGACAAGAACCTATAAAAGCAGGAGGAAAGATAGCCAATATCTTTAATAAATGGTGTTGGAAAAACCAGATTTCAACTTGTCAAAGATTAAAACTAGACCCCTATCTTTCACCATGCACTAAACTAAAATCCAAGTGGACTAAAGATTTAAATATTAAAACAAAAATACTAAACTTGCTGGCAGATAAATTAGGTAGAACTCTTGAAGATATCAGCATAGGAAAAGACTTTATGCACAAATCCTCAGTAGCACAGGAACTAGCACAAAGAATCAACAACTGGGATCTCATCTTATTAAAAAGCTTCTGCACTGCAAGAGAAACCACCAACAGAGCTGAGAGACAACCTATAATGTGGGAAAAGAAATTTTACCAGCTGTTCCTCGGACAAAGGTCTAGTAATGTAGAATATATAAAGGACTAAAAAAAATCAGACCCCCCAAATATAAAGACCCAATTCAAAAATGGGCATCCAAAATGAACAGACATTTCTTAGACAAAGAAGTAAAAGCAGCAAATAAACATATGAAAAAATATTAAATATCACTGGTCATTTGAGAAATGCAGATGAAAACAACACTGAGATTGCAACTCACACCAGAAAGAATGGCTGCTATCAAGAAATCAACCAATAACAAATGCTGGTGGGACTGTGGAGAGAAAACAACCTTCTTCATTGTTGGTGGAAGTGCACAATGGTGCAATCACTGTGGAAATCAGTATGGAGATACCTCAAAGAACTAGGATTAGAGGTCCCATTTGACCCAGCTAGTCCTCTGCTGGGTTATCTTCCCAAAAGAACTAAAAGAATCACACCACTGTAATATATGTGCATCCACGTTTATAATGGCACAGTTTGTAATAGCTAAAACTTGGAAACAGCCCAATTGCCCATCAGTTGGAAACTGGATAAAGAAGATGTGGTTTTTCTTAAAAAATGGAATATTACTCAGCCATAAAGAATGATAAATTAGAGTCATTCGTAGGAAAATGGATGCATATTAAAGTCACACTCTTAAGTGAAATAAAATAAGTCACACACGTGCAAATACCAAACAGTTTCTCTGGTGTGAAAAACTAAAAGTGTAAATAAAAATCAAAATGTATAACTGATATTGTGAAATAGGAAGAAAATGTCTGAAAGAGTAGGGGAAGTAGGAGGGGTAGTGGAAAGGAAAGAAGGGGAAAGAAAAAATATGAAAAAAGGAAAAACATGGAAACAAAGTCTTTGTATATTGGGAAGGGTGGAAGGGGTGAAGGCAGGGCAGGAGAATGGGGAAAAAATAATAAGAACCAAGATACATCATGTAAAGGTACAAGACCCTAACAATGAATGTAACTGTACTGTATACTTAAAATGTACCAATAAACTTAACAGAAAAAAAAAGCTACAAAAGCAAACTGCAAGGTCCCACCTCTCCCTGCCCTGTACCCTCCACACATTTCCTATATTCTCAGGCAAGGAATTCTCCACAGTTAAAAAAACAATCCAGAACACTACAGTCTTTCAAATGAAAAGAGCAACCCCCTTCCCTCTGCTGGACACCACAACTGTGATCAGCAATGACATTCACAGAGTGGAATGAACTTGACACTTTTATTACACTGAATTCAGTGAATTCAGGAGCAGTGAGAATCTCCACTCATTTGCGTCATCTTTCTTGTCCTTTCCTTAAGTTTTATCAAGTTCTTCATACAGATTTGATATCATTCTTAAGTTACTAGGAATTTTATTTTTAAATCTCCTTTATTTTAAATACAGCTTGAAATATTCAACACATGGCTTCAAGGAGAAAAGGAAGAAGTCCTTTGAACACTCACATTCCTAAAAATACAACTACAGACTGAAATCAATACACAGCGCCTTAGAGAAAGCGACAGCAGCGGCCAGCCCAGGCATATGATAAAGGCATCTACCTGAAGTGAGAAGTTTCAAACTCAAAGTCGTTCAACCTATGGAAGTTAAGAGACTGCGAATGTGCTTTTTGTAAATAGCATCTTAGAGCCAGGCATCTGGAAGCTGAGGCAGGAGGATAGATAAGTTCAAGCTCAGCCTGTGCAATAAGACCCTGTCTCAAAATAAAAATAAAAAAGGACCAGGGGTGTAGCTCAGTGCAAAGGCCCCGAGTTCGGCCTCCAGTACTACCATAAATAAATAAATAGATAGAATCTTCCTAATTCAGAAAAAAATCAAGATGGTACCTATGACAATGGTAAAGCTGATGAACAAAACTACTTCATCTTTTCAAGAAGTTACTGTTTTCAGCAACAATGCACAAAATAACACTGTGTCTAGCAGAAGTGGCCAACCATGCCTACCGGAAGTGGCAATCGCAGTGGGGGGGGTGGCCTTTTGGGGTGAAGGCTGGGGCTGACTGAGCGATGCAGAGAGTAGGGCAAGTGCCCATGGACACGCAGGAAGCCACACAACCCTCCCATGCCCTGCCCGCTGTATCCAGCAGCTGGCTCCCAACAGCCTGGTGCCCGGCCAGGCCTGGGCCCAGAGCAGGCGCTGCATCCTGCTCAGCAGGCAGCAAGCACCACCCGGGACCGAGCAGGGGATGCACAGGGAAGGGACAGAGACCACAGTACCTGGACCCGGGTGATGTGCAGGTACAGCACACAGGCAACCAGGAAGCAGATGCAGAACACGAGCAAGAGCAGGACAGCCACACTCCTGGGGACAGAGGACGCAAGGGTCGCTGCTGAGCTGGGCCAGGGGAGGTGGGCCCATCATGTACCTGAGAACTGGCGCTCCTCCCTCCGCCACGTTCCCAGCTTCCTGGCCCCCGGCTGCCTGCCCTGGGGTCCTCGGGGGGCCCACCCACAGCCGGTTGTGCCCAGGGCAGGCACTGGGGATCCTGCACTGATGGGGGTCTCTCCAGAGTCCACACCGCCCCCATTTCATGCCCCCCATCCCAAAATGGAGTCTGAGTCAAGGGTCCCCGGCTGCCGCACCCTCTCCTCTGAGGGGAAGAGCCGCCCTCCCACCGGCTGCCCAGGAAAGGTGTTCGGAGAACAAATCTGAACCCCAAACAGGGCCTTGGAGGAGGCTGGGTTCACAGAGCCCCTCCACTGGTCTGGTACAGGGTCTCCAAGGGCTTCCTGCAAACTCAGAGGAGCCACTGCTCCCCCTTGTGGGTTTTATTAAGGAACAGGTGAGTCTTGGGGAGTAAAATGAACAGGTAGAGACTTCCTGGGGTCCTGCCTGTCCCAAAAACTGCCAAACACATCGGTCTGGGGGATAATTAAATATTAAAATCACTACAGTTTCCTTCCTTTTCGGGGCCACTTTTTTTCATTTTCATGTTTCTGAAAAATTATGCAAACCTAGAAACCAATGAGGACATTCAGGGCACTGTTCTTATAAGCCAATGGCACAGGTCATGTGATGGAGAACCCGAAAATATATGGAATTAAATCCACAGTGACAAGGCCCTCGCTGTGCTGAGCTATTGGCCTTGGTAAGAACTGGAAGGTGGCCAATGCCTTCCTCAGGTGCCAAAAGCAATGGGAGGGTTACTGGGAGGTGAATCTTGAATATAAAATGGGCACTAAGCTGGGTGCCACACATCTGTAATCTTAGCACTTTGGGAGGCTGAGGCAGGAGGATCTCAAGTTTGAGCATGGGTAACATAAGGGAGATCCTATTTCAAAATTTAAATTTTTCTAAAAGGGATGGGGACGTAGGTCAGTGTAAAGGTCCTAGGTTCAATTCTCAAGACTGAGAGGGAAAAAAAAAAAAACAGCTTCCAACCCTGTAGACCTGGACTGCTTGTTTCTTGGAGACTCTGCCACACCCCCGATGAGAAAAGCACTTACTGTGGGATTACCAGAAGGTAGATAAGGCCAAATAAGGCAGCCAGGATGAGGGCGAGGACTACGGCGCTGGTGAAGTATTCGTCCTGCAGCTGGTGGTACTGCGGGCCCAGAGAACCATCAATCCACAGCCCAGGCTTCCGGCCCCACCCAGCCCCGCGCCCAGCCCCAGCCGCACCTTCCGCTCCCGCTCCACGTGCTTATACTTGAGCGTGAAGAAGTTGAGGTCTGCCATCTCCAGCTCGGGCTGCCGGGCCTCCAGCAGCCGGCTGATGTACCTGTTGACCCGCGTGCCTGGCGTGGTGTAGACCACATTGGCGGAGAAGGACGAGCGGTTCCTTAGCTTTTCCGAAGCTGTTCTCAGCGCCCTCCGCTGCGGCCATCGTGGAAATAAAGCAACTGGGTCAAATTCTGCACTGTATTAAGAAGAGCCCTGCCCCAGCCCTGCAGCCCGACCCCCGCCCTAGTCCGGCCTCTGCGTCCCCACCAGGGATGGAGGCCAGCGCAGCTCTGCCCTCCGCTGGCCCGCAACTGCACAGAGGGGTGTTCGACTTGGAAGGGGCTCCCAGGGAGGACCCCACGTGACAGCACCGCGTAAGAATTACGGGGTCCAGCCATGTGAAGTGGGGGATGTCAGCCGGGACAGATCAGCACCCACACCCTGAAGCCAACTCAGAAGATAGGGATCCCCTAGAGAACAGGGCAGGTCCCCTGTTCCCTGCCCCATCTCCCTCCTCTGACACCCACATGGCACCGGAGGGTGCAGAAGACACCAGCATCCCGAAAGGGAAAGGGATCTCATCTGAGGCCATCGCCTGTTAATCCAGGCTCTAGGGACAGGGCCTTGGAGCTCCCCACACTTCAGGGGAAGCAGGAGTGTAGAAAGGACACAATCCACACAGTTCCAGAAAGGACAGGATAAACACATTCCCTTCTGAGTCACCCTGGGGGAAAGAACTCTGACCCCACACAGAGTCAGGGCAGGGAAGCCGCAAAGGGTTCGGGAAGGCAGAGGCCCTCTCGCTGGGGACTCAGAAAAAGTGTGTATGGCAGGGACCCTGTCTTTCGGTCTTATCACGATATCCCAGGCCAAGGCCCGGAGGAGCCCAAACCCTGGGAATGCGATGGGCACAGCAAGACAGAGTCCCCAGAGGATTTGTTCTCTCTGGTCAAAGTACCAAGAATGTGCAGCCTAGAAAAAGAAAAAACTTCCAGAAAAATTTGCACCCACCCCAGGACAGTGAGCTAAGGCCATGCCAGAGGCCAGACTTCCACCCTCCCAAGGCCCCAGGAGGCGCTGCCCAGCCCACTGAGTCAGCACAGGGAGAGCCAAACATGGTCTGGATGAGCTGCACCCGAGGCAACCAGGAAGCCCTCACTGAAGGCCTCTGTGACACCAGGGAAGATGAGTGCACTACCTGGGCTCTGTCCCTGCCTGGCAGGAACAAGACAGCACTCCCACTACACCTTCTATGGTCAGAGGAGCCCAGGGATCCAGACCCATCACTTACAAATGAACCATCAGAGGGCACAACCACCAGGCAAATCACCCTAATCCACGCTCAAAATCATTTCCAAAAATCCAGCATCCAATTTTCATTAAAGAACAAATGCAAACCCTTGAAAGAACCAGGTGTATCCTACTCCTAGCCCGCAGTCACAATTAGTGGGAAGACCCTATTTATTTCACCTGCTAGAGGCAGAACGAAAAAGAATTTCCAGCTTTATTACTATCATTTTATTTAATATTGGATGGAAAAGATGAAGCACAAGCATCACCAGTTACAGACCACACGCCTTACCGTAGATCTGGAAAACCCAAGAGGACTGAATAGAACACCGTCACAATCGGTTTCAATTAGTGAGCTAAAATTTTATCCTCGATAAATTCAGATAAGTAAGGTAGAAATTATCCTTCCCAAAATAATCCCAGGCCAAGTTTAAACAAAAAGCCCGGGGCTGGCAAGTTGCTAGCAGACCAGAAACAGGAGAAAAGGCCTAGTATGGGATGCCAAGGCAACACTAGAGCATGTTGGGAGTGTGCAGTTTGGCAAGGTGCTCCCTCAACCCAAAATTTCACCAACAAGAAGTACCCGGCTCCTGTCATGTTTGCCCAGATGTCTGTAAAAGCTATGATGCTGTGGATACAACACCACCACCTAGAAATGAAGTCTCTGTCTATGACAAGCGAGCAGTCATGCGGTCACAGAGAAGGGACCGGGACTGGATTTGCACGGCATCCAGTATACCCAAGGCCTGTGAGGAGTAAAAAGACTGCGCCCCACACAAAACACTCAGTACCCAACCTGCACGCCCCTCCTGACGCACACATAGAAGCAGACTGGACATAGCAAGGGGTTTGGAAGACAAGGTCTGCATCCTGGAAACACGTTGCTTTTATTTATTTATTTTTAATCAATAAGGTCAAGTAGTGAAATATGGGGAGAGGGGACTGTGGTGTATTAGGAGGTGATAACAGAGAAGGGGCCCCAACGTGGGAGCCACCGCTGGTGACCGGCATCACAGTCTCAGAGACGCCCACTCAGAGCCATTTCCCACACAGAATCGCACTTTGGTGAATGGCAGAGCTATGTATAATTTGCTTTGTTTATAAGATACCCTGAATACCAATGGAGTCTGGTCTCAAATGTGCTCTTTTCTTAGGCCAGAAAGCTACACAATAGTCAAAGAAAAAAAATTTTTTTTTGAGGAATGCTTAATAATACAGAGAAATCTTTATGTACTCTGGCAAGGGAAGAAGAAACAAGCAACCACACTGCTTGTCTGTCATGCAACTGAGTTTATTAAAAAAAAAAAAAAATGAAACCAGGCCTAGTGATGCATGCTGGCGGCCCCAGCACTTTGGGAGGCTGAGACAGGAAGATGCCAAGTTTAATCCTGGCGCTGGGGTGAAGGGAGGGCAGGAGACAGACTAACAACGTAAGGAGAGCCTGTCTTAAATTAAAGGTCGGGGAGGCAGCTCAGTGTGAAGGCCCCGAGTTCAATCCCCAGTGACACACACACACACACACACACACACACACACACACACAAATGTACAGACACACAAACTTAGACAACTGGATGGAACTTAGTTGGGTTTTTGTAGGATGACAGGATTATAGACAAACATTCTTCAATTCCTTCTTCATGTATTTTTTAATTTCTCCATATTTTCCATGGGAGATGCTTTTATCATCAAAGGAGGGCATTCAGAGGACAGGCAGAGCAGGTGTCTGTGGATCAGGGACAGGCCAAACCCCAGGAGCGGATGGGGCAGCCTGCCTCCCTCGAAAGGAGAGGGTGGTGTGCCGGACCCCTACAGAACCTTCTTCTGGGCCAGTGGTGAGGAACCTATTGCAGTGTGTTGTTTTTCTTTTAAGACAAGAGATGCTAACGTATGCGTTGCTTTTCTAAAACTAAAACCTCAGTATTAAGGTTTGACTGCAGTGTTGGCCCTTTATAATCAATAAGGTTTGGGGCTCTGTCTCAAGAAGATTCCCATGGCCATCCTAGGCCAATCCATGCGTGACCCATCAAATTCGGCTTCAGCCAAGATGCCACCCGGACCTGGACTCCAGTCCGCCCGGCAGCCTGGCCTGTCCCCTGGCACTGTGCTCAGAGGCAGCTCCAGTCCTCTCCCCACTCCGAGACCCCACAGTCACAGCCCTGCCCCTCTGCAAGGGTCCTGAATAAAGTCAGCCTCCCTGCACTCTCACAAGTGTCACTGATTTTATTTATTTGTGCATTTATTTCTTTATTGGTGGTAGAGTTTGAACCCAGGGTCTTTGCACTGAGCTACATCCCCCAGCACTTTTTCAATTTTTTAAAATTCCAAGACAGGGTCTCACTAAGTTGCCCAGGGACTGGTCTTAAACTTGCCATCCTCCTGCCTCAGCCTCCCTGAGTTCCAGGATTACAGGTATGCACCCCCACCCCCAGTTCCGATTTCCTTCCAATACCACCCCAACTTCCACTCTGGCCAGGGCTCCTGTGCAACATCCACCTTGGTCAGTGGACCCTGCACCCCTGAATGGGCAGACCCAAAGAACACTTGTCCCCAGACAGGAGAGCTGTGAGTCACCCCCCCAAAGAGGACATACGGGTGCCCCCAAGCCATGCCCTGGGTTGGGGTTCTAGTGCTCCCAGCCTAACCCAGCCCAGCTCCACACAGCTGCTGCAAACTGAGCTGGAGGTGCAGGGAGCGAGGACAGGCTGGGACACTGAGGGGAGAGGACAGCAGGGAAAAGGCCCTCTGCAGTAAGCGCCTGCCCCTGGTGGTCCCACCCAAGACAGATGGCAGAGGGGACATCAGGACAGCAAAGGTGTTCTTTCCATGGATGCTGGTTAACTCCAGCCTCTGCCCATGGGCAGACCCGAGGGCTGGGGGAGGGGAGCTCCCAGGGACAGAGGCTGCACAGGGGACAGAATGAGCACAGCAAGGCCTGTGGTCAGAGCTCAGGGTCAGAGCGGAAAGGAGGAGGGGCTGCTCCAGCAGCATGGGGCAGTACTGGCCTGCGCTGACCTTGTGCGAAGGGAAGACCGACCGCCTGCAGGGTGCTGCACAGCTGGGGCAGAGAGGTGGGCCTGAGGGACCCTAGGGAGGCGTTGGGGACAGGGTGAGAGGCGGGTGGGGCCAGGCCCAGGGCAGCAGGCTCAGTGTCCACATCCACGCATGGCCTAAACCACAAACCTGTGTCGGTGCCTGGAGGGCGCAAGACTGGGGCTCGGGTGAGGCTGGAAGTGTGCCCTTGTCCAGGAGACACAGGGGGCAAAGATGAAATAGGGACCCCCTACTCAGTGCCCGAGGGGCGGAAGGAGGGTGCCAAAGACAGGGCTGGGCCTGTGGAGGCAAGAAGCTCTCCAGCACAGAAGCCCAGCTGTGCATCCACAGGCAGTGGAGCAGGAAGGCAGCTGAGCTCCAGTGCTGCGGTGCCCCAGGCTGAGGGGACGCTGCACAGGGCAGGGCTGCCCAGCCCGGGGTCCGGAACAACGCAGGCACTGAGGATTCCCAGAGCACCAGCCACAGGACAGTGGCTGCAGGCTCCTGAAGCAGGGCCTGGGGAGCGTGGGTTCAAAGCTCCCAAGAGCCACTCAAAGGCAGCTTCTGGAGTCACCTGTGACCTATGCAGGGACAGCAGCTGGCTCACAGACACCACCCTCCCAGGGCATGAGCAGCCCTCGGTATCTTGGTGCATCCATCAACTGAGAGTCAGAGCCTGCTCGCTGTGCCCGAGAAGACCCCTGCATCCTGAGTCTTACTAAACCGGCACCCCTTAGCAATCGGGCAGGAGTGGCTCCTGCTCCCAGCCTAGCTCCTCCCAGACATCCAGGCCCTGGAGGCTCCTGACTTCCTCTTTTGCCTCAGGCTCAACTGCTCTGCACTGTTCCTATCATTTCTAATTTTCATTTTTTGTTCCCCATGGATACTTTTGGATTATATTTGGTTTTCAAAATTTATTGCATGGAAATGTTCTTAACTCAATGACTACATTTAGGACACACTGAGACTGTGCACCTGGCCCACTCCACCCTGTTTGTTGCCCTGCTGGGGACCAGAAAGGAGAAAGACACATTCTACCTGGTAAAACTGCAAACAAGATAGCCTCAAAGTTCTGTGGTTACAAACTGAATTAAAAATTTTAAACATGCACACATAAGTGCGCGCACACATGGACATTTAAAAATGCACAACTGAACCAACAGGAGGCAAGAGAAATAATCAGAACCCAGAGCCTTCAAGTGGGGAGTCCAGACAGGGCGGGAAGACTGCAGCCAGTGCCTGCCTGATGACAGCACACAGGACCCCCTCTGAATGGGGCAGGACAACCTTGGGGCTTCTGGCCTGATCAGGACCCAGACATCTAACGACCAGCACTCAAGCATCTAGTTTAAAGCATCCCCCACTGCCTGACAGGTGTAAAAGCCAATCTCTGACAGAACACGCCAGGAAGAAAGTTCTTCTAGAATTCTCAGATGAGGTTCTAGCAAAGATGAGCTTATACACACAAATCCTGTGGTGAGAAGCAGGAGACAGTGGGATCCTGCAGGATCCTGCTTCTTCCTGAACCGCAGCAAGAAGTTTATTTAAAAAGGCAGCAGGTGGGTGTGGTGGTGCACACCTGTAATCCCAGCATTTGGGTGGGGGGCTGAGGCAAGAGGATCTCCATGAGTTCAAGGCCAGACTCAAAAACACAGGGAGACCCTGTCCCCCAAAATAAAAAAGGCATAAAACCCATAGAGGTGGGGGAAAATACAGGTAGGCAAAGTAAAGCAGCCAGTGAGTTCAGAAAATGGAAACTGGAGCCAGGCATGGTGGCACACGCCTGTAATCCCAGCATTCGGGAGGCTGAGGCAGGAGGATCATTGCGAGTTCAAGACCAGCCTAGGCTACATAGTGAGTTCAGGTCAGTCTCAACTACATAGTGAGACCCTGTCTCAAAAAAAAAAAGAAAAAAGAAAAAAAAAGAAAATGGAAACTGGGCAGTGATGCTGTGGCCCAGAGGGGTGGGTGTGTGCTGGAGGCAGAGTAGCTGGGTGTGCCCAGAATCAGGTGTTGGTGGCTGTGGTACCCTGGCTCACAGGCCTGCAGGAGTTGGTGGCACAGCCCACAGGTCACCCACCCTCCCAGGACAGGGCCCCACTGACCGGGCAGTAGGGAAACCAGGGTCTCACAGAGGAAAAAACAAACAAACAAAAAAAAAACCCTTAAGTGGGAAGATTTCATAAAGAAGAATATACAGAAAACAAAAAAGAATTTATGAAAGTTTCTAAAAATCTGGTTCAAGAAATGAAAAGCTCAACCAAAGTATCGGATATCCAGGGATTTAGCTCAGTGGTTCCACCACCTGCCTTGCTAGTGCAAGGTCCTGAGTTTGATCCCCGGTACCAAAAACAAATAAACAAAAGTATTGGGTAATAAAACTGAAGAAATTTCCCAGAAAATGGAAGAAGTGAAGATAAAGAGGAGCAGAATTAGAACAGTTCAGGGAGTCCAATAATCAAATAACAGTTTTCTGGAAAAGTGGCAGGAAAGAAATACTCAAAAAAGTAACTCCTGAACATTTCCAGAGGGGGGTCCTCTGGGGATGGGGTCCTGTCTCACCCAAAGCAAATCACTGGGCAGGTTCAGAACATGGGGTGCAGGGAACAGATTCTACCAGCTTCCAAGAGCAAGGACACAGCAAAGCATTCAAGAGTTGGGGACTGGCACAGCTCTGAGCGTCTTAGCAGTGACCTGGGAGCCACAGCATGTGATAACAAACCATCTAAAGAGAGATCGGGGCTGACTCAATGCACCCAGGGTTAACAGCCCCCAGAATCCCATGGTGAAATTCTGCCTCCCAATGTGCCATGGATAGGAGGCAAGGGTTCAGGAGGCCATAAGGTTTAGATCAGCCAGGCTGGCTTATGAGGAGAGGAAGAGGCCCAGAGCCTTTTGTCCCTGCCCTGCGAGGGCACAGCCAGAAGTCGGTGGCTGCCAGCCAAGGAAGTGGCTGCGATTCCAGCCTTGCCACACTGTGACCTCCGATTTCGCCAGTGGTGCTATGCAAAATGTTCACCTGGGTTTACACTGCCCCCAAGCTGTGGCACTGTGGCATGGCAGCCCGTACAGATGAATACACCAACCCAGAAATAGAAGCCCTGGCATACAAGCAGGCTGCAAAGACCCTTTACACACACAAGCACCCCCATGCCACCACGTGTCCTTTCCATGGTCAAGTAACAGAGCTCGTGATCCATCACAGGAGGGAAATGACCCAGGAGAGGAGCCCATGGGACAGAGTGGGCCGGCTCCTGATGGCAGGAAGGGACAGCCTCAGAGGACAGCCAGCCCGAGGCCCAAACAGCTGGAACATCGGACCTGATGATCCCAGGTGACCTGGCCAGCCCGTGAGGAAAGCTGGCTTGAAACTGGACAAATACAGATTACAAAGGAGTGAAAAAATACAAAGCAGTATGAAGAGCTGCGCGGGAGAGACAATGGAATCCATGGGAACCCAACCACGCGGGGCTGTCGTGGGGAGGGAGGGGATGGTGCCCGCTGCCCCCACCTTGTCATCATCCTCGCAGGTCATGACGTTGGAGAAGGGGATCTCGGCCTTGAACATCTTCCGGCAGTGCATGAGTTGCACCAGCAGGTAGCATACGGTCTTGAACCGCATCCTCTTGGCAGGCTTGATGTCCGAGAGGATCAGGCCGGGAAAAATCTGTCCAAACACAGAGGGCGAGAGAACGCCACCAGTGAGCCGCCTACGGAGACCCACATGGTGGTGACAGGGCCCGGGCACTAGGACTGCTCACTGCAGGCCTGCTGCACACTGGGCCTCGGGAACCCGCTGAGAATGCAGCAGAGAACAAAACCACAGCCACCAGGTTCTAGAAGATGGGTTTTCAAACCACCCCAGCTCTGAAACCAAGCTCTGTGTTGAGTCCGGTCAGTGTGGAGGGACGGTTTGGACCCATGGCAGAAGGAGATCATGGGACTTGGAGCAAATGTCACCTCACAGCTTCTGTCACCCAGAAGCTGCTCTGGGCCCCAGCAGCTCCAACCCCTCTCCTCCCCAGGAACACCATGTCCCCTGCAGTGCCTGGGCCACCCCACCTGCCCACTCCCCAATTTCACCCTCACTGGCCCCGACAGGAGATGCAAAGATCTCTCAGAAATGGCAGAACACTTCCAGTTTCCCAGCATTCTACTTCCTTCCCATCACCTGTGTAGGCTGCCCATGTTTCAACGTCATGGCGCACCCTGCCCTCCCACCACAGGACCCGCTGCCAACATGGCCCAGGCTGGGGTGGAGTCCAGGACCTCTGGGTCTTTCTAAACCCATGAACTGTTTCACATTCCCTCCTTCTTGGCCAGCCATTCCAAGTAGCCAGTCAAGAACCCTGAGTTAAACTCCCCTTGATCCTTAGGTGGCCCCAACTGTATTCAGGGACCAGGCCCATCCCCACCCAGCCCCTCCCACCAACTTCTCCCCCTACCCACCCCTTCAGGGAAGCAGTGGCCCACCTTGACCCGCCCTGCCCTGTAGACCTTGCAGCCATCCTTCAGTGTAGTCTCAGCCATCAGGCCCCCAAGTCAGATGGAGATGGCTTTCCCCAACTCCCACTCAGGGGCTGTGCCGCCTCAGGCTGACTGATACATCTCAGGGGCCCAGGAGAGTCCAGCCCAAGGAGGAGGTCAGAGTCACTGCTGGACACATGGCACAGGGAGTCTGTCGTCTCCCTCATACCCACCCACTGCTGGTGCTGGTCCCCAAGAACTGTACAACCTACATCAACCCAAGGCAAACATGGTGCCCCAGAACAGCAGGCATGGAGAAGGCAAGGAGTGGAAATCTTTAACAGGTTATTTTACAGACATTTTCACTGGTAGCAGTAGCTGCCTCTGGCTGGAATAAACCAGAGAGGGGCTCAGAGAACTTTCTGCCTCACAACTCATGCTTAGACGAAAATGTGACCCCAGTCACCAGCTGGCTGTTTGCTGGCCTGAGGTTCAACCCAGGAGCTGCTTTTCCAGTCTCTCTCTCTCTCTCCCTCTCTCTCTCCCTCTCCCTCTCCCTCTCCCCCTCCCCCCCCCTCTCTCTCTGCCCTGGGGTTTCCCGGAGCTGCTTCCCAACCCATGCATAACTCCAAATCATGGCTTTCCCTGCAGGTTTGTGTTTTACTCCCACGAAGCATTAATAGTGATAATCAAGCTCCCCTTTAGCATTTAGGGTGGGATCGTCTCACCACAGCAGCTCCTGGGAGACCTTGGGGCGGAGCTAGACAGAAATGGGAAGTGTGTGCAGGGTGCAAATTCAGGGCTCAGCCAAGAGTCTCAGGGTTTTAGCTGAAAATGTACAACTGAGCTGTGGGACCCCAGGATTTCATCAGTCTCTGAGCACCTCAGGATTCTGGGTCACTGTTAGGCGTTAGATCTAAAACACCCCCAAAAGGCTCATGTGAGTGCAGCAGCTGAATGTGCTATCAGGAGTACGCCCTGCTTGGAGGAGGTAGGTCATCAGGGGCAGGGCCTGAAAGGATACATTCTTTATGTTCTTGTCCTGGGATCCGCCCTTCATACTCTGCTTCCAGGATGCCACGTGTTGAACAATTTTCCTTTGCTGGTCCTTCCACCTTGCCTTGCCTACCTTGGAGCCAGCCGACCATGGACTGAGACCGTGAGCCAAAGTAAACCTCTCCTCCTTTAAGCTGAAGGTGTCAGGTATGTCATCCCCATCATGGGAAAGTGACTAATGCAGAGAAATTGGTTCCAGAGAAGCCCAGTCATTGTTGCACCTGTACCTAACTACGGCTGAGAAACCTTTGGAACTAGTTTGTGAGAGGAGTTTGGAAAGGTTTGAAGATGCTTACTAGAGAAGCCCTAGAATGTAGTAAACAGAGCTTGAAGTATGATTCTGGCTTAGAAGACTGGCATGCTGGTACGAATGTGGACAGTAAAAGCCAGGCTCAGGAGGATTCCACGGGGAATAAGGACTCCACTTGTAGCTGAACTAGAGGCCGCATGTGTAACACACTGGGAGAAAAATTTGTCTTCATTTTGCTCATGTCCTTAGACTTTACAAGAGACTGAGATTAGGGGACTAACTGATCTGGTAGAAGAAATTTCAAGTCAGCCCAACATTCAGGCAGTGGTATGAGTACTGCTGACTGCTCTTAGCCAAATATACAGTGAAAATCAGGAGCAAAAGGCAAAGCCAGAAGACATTAAAGTACCTGCAAAGTTGGAGCAAAAAGCATGGTTACTGAAAAGATTAAGAAGCCAAGTACTCTGCATCAAGACAATAGGAAAGGTGGCTTGAAGGTATCTCAGAAGTCAACAAGACCCCACCCTTCACAGACTTAAAGGTGCAAAGTATAAAATTTTCATTTGAGAAAAGAGCCCCCGGACTCCTTGCTAAAGAAGGGATGCCTAGAGAATTGGTTTCCTTAGATTCATTTCACGGTGCAGGCACTCAAAGGCCACTGCAGTTATGATCAAAGGGGGCCTTGCTACTGCTCCCACTGTTGGCAGAATTTCATGGCATCCATGTGCTGCCACTTTTTCAGGCATGAGGAATATAACAGCTGTTGAGTCAGAAGTTTCCACCCAGATTTCAGAAGAAAGCCTTGGAGGCCAGGCAGCATGCCTTTGAAAGGGTGATGTGTGAAAGTGTGATAGTAAAAATGAAGGAACAGTGGAGACCCCAGAAAGCTGGAGAAGTCAGTAGAGTAGGATGTGTGCCCAGGAAAGTCAGAAAGTGAGCAAAACAACCTCCAAAGAGAGGCCATGAGGGCTCTAACCAGCAATGCTGTCGGGGCAGGGCCGCCTGAGCCCTTCAGAGCTCACAAATCACCATAACCAGCTTCAATTGCTGGATGTGCAACTACAGGATTTAATGTTTGCCTTGCTGGGTTTGGTCTTGCTTTGGTCTCACTCCTTTCTATCTCCCCTATTTCTCCCTTTTGGAATGGGAAAGTTTAACCCGTTGTGCCACTGTATGCTGAAAGTATTTGACTTTCTTTCTGAATCTTACAGGTGCCCCCCAGTTAAGAGTTTACTTTGAGTCTCAGAAGGGACTTTGGATTTAGGATTTTCACCAATGTTGGAACTGCTCAGAGTTTGGAAACACTTAGAAACGGACTAAATACATTTTGCATAATGAGAGGGACCTGAGTCTTTTAGAAGAATCATGGGCAGACATTATAGTTTAAATTTTAAAAAGCCCCTTGAAAGTCTCGTGTGTCATTAAGGTGACTCAGTTATGAGGGCTCCATACTCCTCTGTGGAGTCATCCACGGCTGAGTTCTGTAGCTGAATGTGCTGTTAGGAGGTGGGGTCTGGCTAAAGGTGGGTCACAGGGGTCGTGACCTGGAAGGTCGCATTCTTGTCCCTGGTCCTCCTTTTGCTCTCTGCTTCCTGGCCACTATAACATGAGCAGCTTTCCTCCACTGGGCCCTTCAACCATGACACGTCTGGCTTGAAGCTGGCAGCTATGGACCGAATGGACCAGAACCACAGGTCAAAATAAACTTCTCCTCCTTTAAGTTGTCAGCCTTAGGTATTTCATCCCAGGGACAGGAAAGCTTACAGAGTCATTAAATGGGGCTGTGGTGATAGGCTTGTGGAAGCTGCAGGGACCACAGGGAACCCAGCTGTGGGTAGTGGGGTCACAGGGAGAACATCATCTGACATCCACTCACAGGATGAGCTTGTCCACTCGTGCCAAGCAAGGTCCCGGGCAACCACAGGCCCTTGAGGATGTGGGTTCCTGACCTGGAGATTCAAACCACACTGGTTGCCTGAGGTAGCCAGGATGCCAGATGCTGCCTGGTCCCACCTCCCCCAGAACCTCAGTGGGAGATGGCAGAGGTCAAAGAAAGCTGCTCTGGGCCTCAGGACCAGGAAAGCTTGGCTTCCCAAGGGCCTTTGACATAGCTGCTCAGTGAGGGAGAACCAGTCCCATGAGCCAGGTGCAGACAGAGTCCCTTTAATGGTTAGGAAGGGGCTCCCTCACCTGAGGCCTGGAAGTCCCTGTTACCTTCCATCATGACCAGATCACTTGTCTCTGGACCTGGTTATCTCAAGTGCTCATAGGAGATGGCCACAGCCCCCAGGGAACACAGCACCATTCCGTTCTCAGGGCTCCCCACCCCCAGCTTCTGCTCTGGGAGGCAGTAAAGGGCCAGGAAGGGGCGAGAGGACCAGGGTGGCCCATTCTCAGACAACCTCAGATCGGTGCATGGGTCCGCACCCATCCTCTGTCTGCCTGGCTCCCTGTCCCACCTGCAAGAAGCAGCGCCTGATCCCAGAGTTAGGGGGCCTCCTCCCTGGCCCCACATGTCCACAGCTGGAGAAGAAGTGCTGGGAGGAGGAGAGAGACCAATGCGTCTTCGGAGCTCCACCCAGGCCGGGCTGCCTAGGGAGCAATCAAACGAGGGGGGCCCAGGAACCCACCTTTCTCCGATGGGACGGCACGATGAAAAAGGTCTCAATGTTATGAGTCTTCAGGAAGCTGTTCCTCTCGTGGCCATGGCCCGGCTCCACCTCATAGTCTCCGTTCAAGCAGGCGAGGGTTGTCTTTGTGATGTGTACCTTCCTGTGAGATAAGGGTGCAGAGATGTACAGGTGTCAGGCCCTGCCACTCGGAACCACACACATCTTGGAAAGGGGAGGGAGGCAGGCAAGTGAGAGAGGGCCGGACAGGAAGACAGAGGAGGGACAGACGAGGCTAGGGAGAAAGATGGTCACAGGAAGGAGAGAGGAGAGAAAAGAAAAACACCAGAGGATACAACAGAAGTCGAGAAAAGGAAAAGAGGGGTGCAGGGAGGAAGAGGCCCTGGTCAGAACCAGTGAGAGCCTGCATAGGTACCCTCGGAGTGAGAGCACTTGGCTGTGCTCCACCTAGTCCCCAACTTACCCTGGCAGACCAGCGGCCTCCATGACATTGGCCAGGGTCACGTCATTGGACCACACATCATATTGCCACTTGCGTAGGCCCAGAACACCACAGAGGACCCTGCCAGTGTGCAGCCCCACACGCATGTTCAGGTCCACTTCCGTGGCCTCAGCCACAGACCTGCAAGACAGCATGGGACATGGGGCTGGGGCTGGCCACGTGGTGCGGTGTGCGGTGTGCAGTGTTTAGTGTGGGTTCTGTTCAGGCTGCACACGGCCTGTGTGGCACTGGGATGGGACAAGGCACGTACAGGAGCCTGGCTCGATCGGTGGACACCAGCCTCTCTGGCTGCCCAGTCATCTCTCGGTATCCACACTGGCTCTTTGACCCCTCCTCACTTTCTCCTGAGTCCCCATCCACCCAGGGAGGACCCCAATGGGACCCACACCCCACTAAAGCCTTGTCCCCAAGGGAAGGCAAAGAAAGGCAAAGCAGCACAGAGGGAACTGAGGACTGGGGAACCCACTGCAGTTTGGTCACTGCTGGCCCTCAAGCCTCATTTTCCCTGAGTATAAACCAGGCTTTGGCTATGTTGGCTCTGACGATCCCTGAAACTATTCAAACTCTATCCCAGTGCAGCCTCCTGCTGACTCCAGTATGAATATATCAAGGATGGCACCAAGAAGGACAGCCTACTCCCCGCCGCGTCACAGCCAGGCAGGTGACAATGACAGCAAAGCAGCTCAGCCCTTGCTGTGTCCTCAGCTGCCTCCCCACTCTGCCCTGCTGCCCATGCCAGAGGCCTCTCTCTGTGGCTCTGTGGATCGTGAATAACACTGGGGTGCCAGGCTGCCTGGCCCACCTGAGGAGTCGTGCCTGGCTCACCATCAGCCTGACTTCCCCACTCCGGAGCCAGCCCCACAGCCCCAGCCTGCAGGGGACACAGCAGCCACCCCAGGACAGCTGCCTGTTGGCTGCTACTGGAGGATGATACAGGAGGGTAGCTTCAGCCCTGAAGCAAACTCACTTTCAGTGACTTCAGAAGTATGTGTTCCATAGGTTTACGAAAGAAGTCACTTGGAAGTTAGGATACTGACATCTTTAAAACCTACTTATTTTTATATATTTTTGGATGTCATATTTTTTCAATTCCCCCCTCCATGTTTGTCAATCTCCAATAAGAGACACCAAAACAAAATTCTAAAGTTAAAGTGTATATTGAAGCAGAACATGGCACACGTCTGTAATCCCAGTACTCTGGGAGACTGGGGCAGGAGGAATCCAAGTTCAAGCACAGCCTGGGCAACTTAGGGACTCAGCAAGGCCCTGCTTCAAAATAAAAAAATAAAAGGCCGGGATGAAGCTCAGTGTGAAGACCCTGGGTTCAATCCCCAGTACCACACCCCTAAAATATTTTTAATGCACAGGGAAAATGTAGATAAGGAACCTGCCAATGGCACTGTGGGGCATTTCTAGCAGTTATACTTCTGCAGTCATAAACAGGCAACATCAGCAGATCTGTGGGGACTCACACCTAGCCCTGTCCTAGACCACTCTGTGTCCCTTAAACCAGCCCTTCACCCTCTCAGAGCCTGAGCCAGCCTCCTCCAGGTCCCCTGTGCCCTCCACCACACTCTTTTCTTCAGTCCCTCCAGTAGGTTCTGTCGCCCAGCTCGTGGAGCTGACATCATCTGGCCTGCAGCATGCTGGTGGTCACCTCCTAAATACCCAGTATCCAGAGCTGACACTGTGACTGCTCCACTCGGTCCCACTGCTGCTGGAATGTCCAAGTGGCTTTGCCTAATTCCAATGGAACCTCCAATTTCACTTCCAAGGAGCCAGAATTTCCACAGCCTTTCGGATTTATTTGTCCTCTTTTTCTTTCTTATTTGTGCTCTCAGGCTATTATGGTTTCCATCTAGAATGTCCCCCAAATGTCTCCATGCATTGGACACAGGACTTCTGGAAGGTATCTGGATTATGGGGGCACTTACATTCATAGCTGAACGTGTCATTAGGAGATGGCACCTGGTTGGAGGGTGTGGATCACTGGGGATGTGTCCTAGAAGGGTGTGTTTTCCTCCTGGACTCTCTTCCCTCCTGCTCCAACTACCCTCTCTCTGCTTCTGGCTACCACAGTCACCTAGAGCAGCTTTCCACCACCAAGCCCATAGACCATGATGTTTGTGCCTTGCACCTGCCTTCCATGCATAGATGGAAACCTCTGAAACCATGAGTCAAAATAAACTTCCCTTCCTTGAAGCTGCAGTGTCCGGTATTTCGTCCCAGTGATGACAATGTAACAGAGACACAGGCTCACTTATCTGTCTCAAGCATCTTCAGTGCAGACCTAGGCTTGCTGTCCACAGGCCTGACCCCTGTCTAGCTCTGGACACCAACAGGGAAGTCATAAGGAAGTGGCAGACTCCCAGGAACAGGATCTCATCAGCTGTTCGGCAGAAATCCAGGCAGAGCTGAAGCCCAATCATGACTACACCACAGTTAAAAGGACAGACTAGCATTATTTTGTTCATTTGTTTGGGCAAGCATCTATCTACCAGGCTTACTCCTTCATCTATCGCTCAAAGCACTGTGGCAACAGCTGTGGCAAGAAAACAGTGGTCCCTCTGGAGGTCGACTCACTCTCCTCTAGGCAAAACCGACCACAGCAGTCTCAGCTCTGCCCCAGAGTGACGGGAAAATGGAGCAAATGGTTTCATTCCCATGTGTTCAAACCAATGCCCCCAGCTCAGGCTCCTCACTTCCTCTCCTGGCTGAAGCTTACCCATCTATAAAAATACAAGTTCTTAGCTTGAAACACACAACTTCAGAGTTTCCAGATCCCCTAAGATATTAAGGAAAATCACATGTGATGACACAGATGAAAATGGGCACCAGCACTCTCTAATCCACAGGAAGTTGACCCCTAAGTTTCTCTACAGGTCTGTCCCTGAGAAGGAGAACCCAATAACAAGATGAAATCATCCCCAAAGTTACTCTCTGTTACAGATCTAAACTGACCCCCCAAAGGCTTATGGGTCCAGAGGAGGGGCTTTTAGAAGGCGATCAGATCAAGAGGGCACTTAGTCCACTTCAAATGGACTGATCCGTTGATGAGATCACAACTTACGGCATTACTGGAAGGTGATGGTCCATCCAGGAAATGGGCCTAGATGAAGAGACTGGGTCATGGGGAATGACACTGGGGACTCTATCTCATCCCCAGCCCCTGGCTGCCATGAGGCGAGCAGCTTCCTTCTGCCATGCCTTCTGTGATGTTTCTGCTTCGCCATAGGCCTACATGCAATGGAGCCAGCAGACCATGGACTGAAACCTCTGAAACCATGAGCCAAAACCAAGCTCTCTCTCTTTAAGTTGCTTTATTCAGGTATTTTGTCACAGGAACATAAAGCTAACCTATACACTCTCTTCTAAGAAAGTGAGGTGTTCTCCATGGCTCACATCCACAAGCCAGCTTATGAAAAAGAAAAATTGCTTTATTCAGGTATTTTGTCACAGGAACATAAAGCTAACCTATACACTCTTCTAAGAAAGTGAGGTGTTCTCCATGGCTCACATCCACAAGCCAGCTTATGAAAAAGAAAGGCCCTGTTGGGGACAGACCAGGGGCTGGGGAACATAGCCTGTGGGTGTCCCCTTCTCGCAGGACTCAGCACTCCAGCCTAGGGGGACCATTGAGATGTGCTGACCACCGAGCAGCCTGTGTGCTGCACTCCCCGACTCAGAGTGGGTCAGGAGGAAAAGCGTAAGACATTCCTGCTAGTGTAATTCAGGGTAGCAAATGAAAAATACTGAGACCACAAGCAAGCTGGGGGTGATGGGAACAACAATGAGGTTCCTGCCTCTCTATCACCCATGCTAGCAGAGGTTCTCCCAAAGCAGACAGACGTGTGCAGGACTACGTGCTGCAGAGGGATTCCTGTGGAAGAGGGGCTCCTTCCCCTCCAGGCTGGCTCTTCTTGTCTGGGAGCTGATTCTTCCCTCCCACGTGGACCTACTTCATCAGAGAACCCACTTAAGCCTCATAACCACTCAGAGATGCAAACATCATTTCATTTTACAGCGAAGAAAATGAAGGATTCAGGGAAAATGAGAGCCAGGAATCTGCAGGCTCATCTACTTCCTCAAGATCAGAAATTTCCAATCCACTCAGGAAAAGAGGGGTTTTGGGCCAGCTGTTGAGAGTGGAGGAGACCAAGCAGGAAAGGGGCAGACACAGATGTCATGGGGAGCAAGGCACAGGGTAGGGGTGACTCGGGCCTCAACTGGCCTCCCGCACCCTCCACCCCAGAGTCTTGCATGCACATAGCTTGCAGAATAGAACGCAGCACCTAGAAGGACAGAGGTAGAACTCTGTCCCTGGGGCCTGAGCATCACCAAGGTGATGCCCCAGGTGGGTGGCTTCAGTCTACAGCAGGAAAGAAGATGGGCTAGAAAGTTTCCCCACTGCCCCACGAATTTGCTTCCTGGGCTGGTCTTGCCTCTGAAGAGCTGTGTGACCCTAGCAAGACTCTTCTATCTCAAGGGTTCAATTTCTTCATCAAATGGGAGAGTCCACTTCATGACAGACACCCTGGCTCTGAGCCAAGGGTACCCTGACAGGGACAGAGACCTGGGTATCAGACCAATCTCCCAGTTGTGTGCCCGGGGCAGTGAGTGGTCCGCTGCATCCTGAGGGCTCCTCTCAAAAGCCTGATCGTGCACACAGCACTAATGCACTGCTGTGTTGCCTAAGCAAGCAGTCCTGGTGTGGGCACTGCTGGCAGAGCTAAGGTGAGAAGACAGAGCTGACAACACACAGGGTTCCCATGGACACAGACATACAACTCAAACAAAATGTAAGGAGAGGTCACCAGAGCTTTACCTCCCAACTCAGGGGATCATGGGACCCAACGCCTTCCCGCAGTTGCCCAGCCTGGGACAGGTCCCCAGACAGCGAGGTGCTTACGTGATGGTGTCGATCATGTCCAGCCCCATCTCCACGCAGCAGTGGGCATGGTCAGCCTTGGGCTGGGTGAGGCCAGACACGCAGTAGTAGCAGTCCCCGAGGATCTTGATGCGGCGACAGTGGTTCTCCTTCAGGGACAAAGAACACGGGTCAGCTCTGCTTGCTCAGGACGCTAGACGTGGTGGCAACCACTGAACATCAGGATGCGTTCCCAGGGTCCCGGGCAGTCCTGGGGGTCGTGGTCACCTCCGGCTACTGGGACCAGGTTCAGGCTGATGGTCCCCTCACTTCCCTGATCCCTTTCCCCTCCATGTGGCCAACCCCACAAATCCTTTAAGGTCCAGGTGTCAAGCCACCCAGGTATAAGGAGACACAAGCACATAGCCACCTCTGTGGGGAACCTGCCCTGACCCCCTAAATTCACTCAGTGCCCCCTGACCACCAACACAGAAGGCCACAGGCAGCTCAAGGTCCCCCAGGAAGGCCAAGCCAGGCCCGGCCTGGTGTCTCCACACTCTTGCTGTCCCCAGCTCTGGGGAGCAGTTCTAGAAGCCACTTCCTGCTGCTGAATTATCCATGCCCTCTTAGATACAAGGACACGAAGATCGATATGAGTCTCCTTTCTCTGAAATGCGTGGGACTGCATGTATGTCAGTGTGGATTCTTTCAGACTTTCCCTTAACCTGAAACCTAAAATTGACTTCAAAATCTGAAAGATTCTGAGGGTCAACATGGTGCTCAAAAATTTCAGAATTTGGAATCTCCAGGTTAGGGATCTTACCCTGTACGATGTACACTTCTGTGCGCATCTACCCCACCCACTGAATTCACACTGCACCCCTTTGACACAGCACAGAGGGTCATGGGGGGCCATTTAGAAAGCACAAGATGCCCCCAGGAGCAAAGAGGATCAGGGAGAGTCCGCTGGGCTCTGTTCTACCCGGTGCATGACTTGCTTTCATTTCAAGGAAAGAACTAAACAGGAGTCCTAAAGCATCTCCACCTCAGCACCCCTTTATATCTTTGACATGTACCAGTTAGAACCCGCCACTGAAGCAGTTTTAATCATGCGCGAATGCACTTAAAGGAAAAGGAAACCTATCTGCATGTTAGCCTAAACGTCATTTCATGGAAACTATGACATTTCCCCCACGTGAAATACAGGCGTGCGAAGCTGTGCCGTCCACTCCCGCTCATCTCTGACTCATTTTCAGAGCAGACAGCGGGATTTGTGGACCCACAGCAGCATTCGACCATTCATGCTGGGCTGTGGTCAGAGGCACCTTGAAGGCACAGCTTTCCAGTCATCCTGGTGAGGAAGGACCTCGAAGACCCCAAGAAGGCTGCACAGAGCCACAGACCCTGGTTGGAGAACACGCTTATGGCTCATATCTAATCTGTCCTTCTGCTCCCTACCCCACTCTGATCTTCTCAAGCGGAGCAAATTAGCACCTGCCAGATTGCACTGGGAGCCGACAAGGTGGCTGGATGGCCAGCCCCGCCCGGGATCAGGCACACTCGGATCTCCCGGTCCTAGGCCAGCAGCTGTCCCCAGTGCTGTCCTGAGCTGCCTGACCTCGGCACTGCAGGGACCGTGAGAGATGGACGGCTCCAGCCATGCTGAGCATCTGAGAAAGCGATGCCATGAGCTGTGCAGATGGCCCCACACCCACTCCCCCACCCCACAGCAGAGCAATGTCACCATGGGCTGGCAAGGGTGTCGCCTTTGATTACAATTCCAGAGTTGTCCAGAGAAGGAGGCATCCACACGGGCCGTGACCACGGACAGAGGTGCCTGTGGACTCTCAAAATGATCCCTGCTCAGTGCTCAGTGCAACTGAGGTATGCAGTCTTCAGGGACCAAGGGCAAAGCCACCCAGTAGGACGACATGCATGGTACACACCATATGGTGAGACCACCCTGGAAGATGAGGGCCACGTGCCTTCTGAAGAAGTGTGCCAATCAGCTGTCATACAACAGCAGTGCTGGCCTGGAACCCGGCCAGCACACTTATACACACACACACACACACACACACACACACACAGAGGATTCCAGCTCCTCCAGCTTCACACGGAGTCTGCACAAACTGCCTGAGATGCAAAGCCCAGGCCCCTCCAGCCTCCTCCAGCTTTGGCTTCCTGCTGGCCTCCACCACGCTGGTCCCGGAGGACACAATCCAGCACAAACACCGGGGACTTCTTGGATTAGTTTTTAATTTCTAAGGCTCTGGATTTTGTCAGCAAGCTTAAGAGATCAAAAAAATTTTTTGATTGCTTCTGATGATTCTGATTTTTAGACTCTTCTCCATGAATATGGAAAGCTGGTGCCTGAGGCACTGTGGAAGGCATGGTCGGGAGTGGGATGGTGGCCTTGTGGCTCTGTGTCCCACCAGAAAGAATAGAGAGGAGGAGGAGGGTGGGAGGGGTTCTGAGGGGCTCAGCCCTTGGGACTCATCTATCCCTTCCAAGCCACAGAGGCATCAGGACTGCCAGGGAAATAAATGCTGGCAGGGATGTCCCATGCTTGGCTTCCCAGGTATGGCCTGAAGGAAGTTGGTGGGCTCTCGTGGCCCTGCCTGCATGGGGAGCCACAGGGTCCGGGGACCTAGGATACAGCAGCACACTCTGACCCTGCCAGGACCCAGCAGGCTGAGAGAGCTCAATTCCAAGCTGAACTGATGGAATTAAAAAATACCCTCCCACAGGTCCAGGAGGAAGGAAAGAGTAAGGGGGCAAGAAGCTGCTGCTGACTCCAGAGCCCTAAGACACCAGTCCTAAGATGTGGAATCCAGAGGACCAGGTGGACCCTACACTGCACCCAAATTCTGAGAGAGCAGGAAACCCCCTGGCTACTCCAGTGGAAGGGCAAGGTGAGGAGGACAAGCCTGAATTAATTCCATTTTTGCTGCAAAGGGACTACACTCAAAAACCCAAGCCAGGCAAATCCTGTTAACTTTGTGAAAGGAAAACTCTTTCTCCACCACAGTGTATAACCTGCTGGGTCCACTGCTCATGTGTAACCTGCTGGGCTACCCAGCTAAAAAGCAGGGCCCTGAAACGTACCCAGCGGCCATGCAGAAGACAGGCAGGACCAGCAGTTCCGATGTACACCATTCATTCCTGCACAACTGCTTTTCTTGAGCCTCATGCTGAGCTGGCCGCTGTGCTGAGCACAGAATACACAAAGGTAAAGGAAAAGGAAGCAGCTCTGTTTCTGAGGTGCTTCCTGACCCAGGGTAAGCAGGGTGCGCAGGCAGAGGCGCTCAAACACAGACCTTGCAGACCCCTGTGCACCTGCAGGGACCACAAAGAGGCCGCCACCTTCTGGGAGGATGAGAGGAGCCTGTCCTGTCACCAGGGCAGCTCTGGGGAACACAGTCACAGTTGCATTTGCTCCTGGGGTCCAAAGGAACAAGGGAGGGGCCAGGTGAAACTCAGCACCTGAGATGGGGCGAGAGGCAAAGTCAGAAGGGCCTTTATTTTGTCTCGTCTTTAGTGAGAGCTGCTGTGACCCTCGTTAGGCCACCTGCTTCCTTGAAAGCTTCTAAAGGGATTACCTGTAGCCTTCATGAGCTGTGGAATGCACAAACTTTCTTTCCTCTTTGCTTCCACAGAGCAGCAAGAAACTATCCCGTGTGCTCTCTCTGGAAGGCTGGAGCACAAGCCCCAGCAAAACCACATACCAGTGGTTTGGCTCCTTCACCACTCTATCTCAAGCTGAGCATAAATGACAGAGGGCTAAGCCAGCAGCAGGAGGAGCTCCATGTGGGGCTGGCATGATTCATGATGATCAGAAGAGTTATGGCAGGATGCGTGCCTTTTAGTGCATCTCCACGCAGGAGTTTTCAGTATGGAACCTAACCCAGCAAGTATCTTATGTACCTGAAAATTAAAAACAATACTACCTAAAACTCCAAACCAAATTGAAAAACCTGCTACCACATCAGCTGCTTGACCACAGAGAAGAAGAAAAAATTAAATGATTCTGAGGGGCTTGAAACACATCTCACTGCAGATCTGGAGGGGTGTAACCCAAGGATACAAGAACCACAAATAAAGGTCCAAGTGCACTTGGAGGTCTTGTTTTTTCTTGATGGCAGTGGCGATTTCACTTTGAAGCTACTCCGAACAGACAATACTACAGTATCTGTGTTCATTCTGTGCCACTTTAACAAAATATTTGAGACTGGGTGATTTACAAAGAACAGAGGTTAACTGTTTACAGTTCTGGGGACAGAAAGGCCATGGTTGAGGGGCCCACATTTGGTGAGGGCCTTTGTGCTCCTATGGTGGGAGGTGGAAAAAAACTGTGTGTGAGAGACAGAGAGAGAGAGAGAGAGAGAGAGAGAGAGAGAGAGAGAGAGAAGGAAAGAGGGAGAGACAGAGGGGGCAGGGAGGGACAGGACTGAACTTGCTCTTGTAACAACCCAGTCTCTAGATAACTAACCCACTCCTGTAATAACACTAATCCAATCACAAGGATAGAGCACTTATGGCCTAATTACCCCTGATGAGGCCCCTTCTCCCAACACTGTTGAATTAGGAATTAAGTTTCCAGCACATGGATGATGGGTGACACACTCAAACCCGGGCACTATCATCACTATCTCTAGCATCAAAGAAAAGATACAAATATAAAAGACAGTGAAGTTAAGTGACTTGGAAATGTTGATACGAATTCACAATTTATTTTTCTTTTTCTAATGAAATCTCCTATCTCTGTAAAAGGCCCCAGATCATTGACAACCCAAACTGTGGGGTTATAAAGCGGGGCTTCTGGGACAAGAGCAAGATGTGTCTGAGCGAGATGCCACACTGCCCCTACAATGACGGCCTCAGAGGCAAGGGGCCATGGCAAAAGAAAGAGAAGATAGCCCAAATGAGCCCTTCCCAACACGGGAATCTGAGCACCAAAAAATTTTTAAAAGATGGCAAGTGTCAGAGAAAAGCAAAATTTAAAAAAACCCAAGTTTATAATGGGTCACTGGTTCATTATTTTTTAAACGGATACATAGAAAGAATCAAGTATCCAGTGAGGATAACCAAATAGATCACAAGGAAACATTCTTCTTTAAAGAAAGAGCTAATAAATGCAGAAATGATAGAACTAAAATCCACCATTTTGCAAACCCAAGTGAAGTGTGAAATCCTGGTGATGCTTACAAGGCAGCTGCTGTAAGACCCCTGGGTGCAGTGTGGAGGGAGCTGTGAGGGGAGGTCACACCTGAATCGCCCAAGAACTTCAAATAGGCAAGGACAGAAACACAGCCAGCGCCCTCTGCTGGGGAGAATCAACAGGCAGCTCACAACTAAGAGAACAGATGGATCCAACAGAAAACCCAACACAGAGGGTGGAAGTTATGGTTTGGACCCTAAATGTTCCCCCAAAAGCTCATGTGTTGAAGGCCAATGGCACCTCTGGAAGCTGGTGGAACCTTGAGGAGGTGGGGCCCCCTCGAGGAATTTATTAGGACCCTGTCCTGTTCTCCTTTTGCTTCCTGGCCAGCATGAGACAATCAGCCATGCTGTCCCCTGGCTCCTTCTGCCCACAGGCCAACCTCAGTGCTTCCTGTGTGACCTAGGGACTGTGGGTGATCAACTTCATTCAGTGACGTCGGCCTGTCTCACTATAAACTAAAATCCCATAGGACAGTTGAGACACACATCCATCTCATTTGTATCCTGATCGAATAAACCAGTCATGTGTGAAAGAAAGGAAAACAAGGCCCAGGCTGGGGGTCAGGAATGACATGGCTGTCACTGACGTGGCTGGGTGGATAATGGTGAAGGGGTGGTAGCCAAAACCTTCTCAGAGAGCACAGCTGTGCACTGAGGGATTTATGCTCCAAGTAGGGTGGTGTCTGGGATTGGGGAAGAGACAGGATGGAGACCAAACAAGACTGGTCCTACTTAAAAACCATCCATGTATATTTTGGGTGTGTGGGGGTCATTCCATATTATCTCTACTTCAGCACATGGCGGGATCTTTTCATAACCAGCTTTAAAATGTCAGGCTCCTGACAAGGTGCAAGGTTGGTACCTCATATCCCTGCCAGACAGAAGAATGCTATTCCACGGTGGATTTGGCAGCTGTTTTCTGAATGAGCACAAAGGACCATGGCTGCCCAGATCCCTGCTGGTGGCCTAGGAGATCAATGTCCCTCCTCCTGTGGGCAGCACTCAAACCACCCCAACTGACCCACCTGCCTCTCACCTCGGCCTCCAGATAAGCAGCTCCTCCCAACTCATGACTGAGCCACCTTCTCCTCCATCTTCCAGCTCTGTAACACCAACATCCATGAAGATGCCATGTTGTTCTCACTCTTCCGCTCCGCCTGAGTTCCATCAGCCATGAAAGAGGCCAGGTTCTCCTTACCCTGTCCTCTCTACTCCATGGAAGGTGCCATGTTCCTCACATCCCTGTCCCGTGTACCTGGGACGCGTTTCCCATGAAAGGTGCCACATCCTCCTCACCCCACCCATGCTCTCCCCCAGAACACAATCCCCCATGAAGGGCACCAGATTCTCCTCCCCCACTTCCTGTCTGGCTGGACCACACCTCCCAAGAATGTACCACGTTGCCTCTCTAGTCAGTGCCTGTGGTGTTTCCTCTACATACTGATCGTACTCTGTCACATGTCTTACTCAGCCAGTTCCTGCTTTTGCACAGCTACAATACTCAGAGTTGCCCCTCCTGAGCTGCCAGTACCTAGATACAGTCCTCTCCTCCACCCCTCCAGCCCAGCAAGCTCTGTGCTTGGCCAGGGTGAGCCATACACATTTGCTCCTGGGACACCATCCAGTGAAGACAGCTCACAAACTCACTCCAGGCCTCCATGACCAAGTACTGAGCAGCTCATTGAACAGGGGTGTTGGAGCAAGAGGGGTTGTGGGAGACCCTTCTTGTGTCCCCTCCCATTTCACTGGCAGGGAAACAGAGGCACAAGCAGGAAGGATGATGCAGCTAAGTCCCTGAGGCTTACTGGGGCTTCCTGCCCTTTGAATTAGGGCAACACAAGGTTTCCATGAAGTGAAGGCCAAGGCCCCGCAGGCGCAGGAAGGATGGAAGTGAACCCACTCGGAGGAGCCGCAGCCCTGGCAGGGACAGCACAGGCTCCCAGCCCAGCTTGCATGAGTCCTTTTTGGAAATATCCACAGTGAAGACAAAATAGTACAAAGCAAGCCCCTCCTGAACACAGGCCATAACAATGTCCTGTGTCAGCAATGCAAGATGGAGGAAAATGGCAGGCTCGCATCATAAAGCCGGGCATGTTTGCCTTGTGGTCTGTCCCAGGAGGCGCGCTGCTGTGTCAGCCTGAAGAAGGATTCCTCAGCTCAGCACCAGTGCCACTTTCCCTTGAATGCAAACGATCTGCACTTAAACTCTCATTAAATTCTTGTTCATTTGCTTCCCCATGATCAGGCCCTTGTGGATCAGAAAGCATCCTGATGTGTCCATGTTTGGGGACAGCACCAAGCTTCCAGAGGCGTCAGAAGACCCAGCAAGTCCCATGGCATCAATCACACAGAGGGTGGCTGGGAGCCCAGGCCAGGGAGAGGAACTGTTTCAAGAGGGTGTGAACTGGCCGATATCCACCCTAAGTCTGGGCCCATCCCATGACGCGTGCCAGGCTGAGAGCTGGCAGGAAAAGGACACGCGCTTGTGGGGCGGAGGCCCCTGGAAGGGTCCTGGGAGTCATGACCAGGACTAGCAAACTCTGTGCCTGTGACGCTGAGGAACAGGGTCAGGAAAAGCCCCAGGTAACCTAACCGACAGCTCACGCTGAGCTTGGCTTATCGCAGTGGATCACACCCTGACAACTCACCACACAGCCCTTTGCCTCCTGCAACCAGGTGAGAGGACCATGTGCCTGGTGCCATCAGCTTCTGTTCCTGTTTGGAAAATGGACATCCAGAGCAGGGCCCTGTCCCTCCACAGGTGACAGCAGAGGAAGCCCGAGTACCAGGACAGGCATTTCTCCATTGCCTCTGTGGTCCACTTCAAAAATATGCAAGTGTGCAAGCCCCAGTGCAAATCTAACAAGTATCCAATAAGTGGGTGAAAGGTCAAAGACACCATCCCCATCAGAGACCAGGGACCGCAGCTAAGGCAGGAAGTAAACCATCAGCGAGATGGAGGCTATGCAAACACACCGTGTTTGTTTAACTTCCCATAGGGACCTTCACAGAGAGAAGGGTTTGGACTGCAGCTGTGTGTGACTTTGGCCCATGTGACTGCATGGGGCCACCCAGTGTCCAAGTGCTGGGACTCAGATCCAAGAGGAGCCCATGTGCTTCAGGCAGAGCCACAGCTCCCCTGCACTGTACAGGAAGAGTGGGGACTCAGCCCAGGGGATACCAGAGGCCATCGGAATTTCAGCCAGGCATCCCCAAGTGCACAAAACATCCAAGCCAAAAAGCACACCCTCCCAGCTGAGAACCAACCCCTCCTCTCCTCCTCAGGAAGAGGGTGCAGCCTTTCCCAGATGGGGTCCCATGGCACCCAGCCCAGGATACCCATGGGGTACCCCAGGAGAAACTCTCTAAGCCTTTAGGAAAGTAGGCAGCAGCTTCATTATAGGATCTCCAGACTGCAGGGATAGCATCCAAAGTCCTACACCATGCTCTTCTTAGTCTGCACCAGGCTCCACCCCTACCCCCATGGTCCCACCTGGTGATCAGACCCCAGGACTGCCCCCAAGACACAAGGCTGGCAGGCTCACCCCCTGGAGACCTATACTCGGCCCTGCCTGGCCTGCCCTGTGCTTTGATGTCCCTGGGCTCTATGCAACTGTGCAGCAACCAGGCTGACTCCCTCCCCTCCTTCAGAGGGAGCCCCCTCCATCTCTCCCAAGACACCTCCACCAGTGCCACTGAGAACAGCGCTGATTTCCCAGGAGGCTGGTGCTCCATTCAGCACCACTGGCCTCAACAACCTTCCCTTCCTGGTGCGAGGATGGGGCCAAAAAGGCAACCTGGGCACATCCTGTGCGTCCCCTTCACCTCCTGAAAGGGCAGAGATGGTAGGGGCTGGGTCCAAGGACCTCCCACCAGCCCACCCCCACAACACACACACCACTAAGCCTTGAACCTGGGCACCAGCCCCACTCCTGCCTTCTACTGGCAGGACAGGAGATTGCCCAGCCACAGCCAGTCATCTGACCTCTGACTGCTGGTGCCAGGGGGTGTGCACTGGCTGAGCCAGCACCAGTGCTTCCACTGTGGGCTAGCGAGGCCCAGCCTGACCCTGACCTGAGGGCTTCAGGGTGTGCAATTTACCCCACACTTGCCGCGGATAGCAGTAAAGTGATGGCCCACATAGGGGTGTCGCTCAGTGAATGTGCCCTCCCTCGGCCCAGGGTGGTCTGTGGGCTTCTGTAGCTGGGGTCACTTGTCCCAAACTCAGCACAGAGCAGGCCAAGGGCAAGGGCCTGGCACAGCCTCGCTCCAGCTCAGGATGAGGCCGCCTTACCGTGGCTAACTCGTCGAACTTGCCAAAGAGCTCATTGAGCAGTTTCACCAGCTCCTGTGCCGTGCACTGGGATGCCAAGCCCGTGAAGCCCACGATGTCTGCAAACAGGATGCTGTGAGGGACAGAAAGACAGAAGGATCCCTGAGGAATGACGACCCGGACCTGCAAACGCCCTCCTCTGTCGGCCCCATTAGCACACAGCACCTCACTCTCTCACGCAGGCTGGAGACAAAGGGTTCCTCATTCCCATTTCACAGGGAGAAGACTGAGGGTCAGAGCGGCTCTCTCTCTCCTGGTTACCCAAACCAAGTGAGCCCCTGGGACATTCAGAGCCTGCATCCTGTCCTCCATGTGGGCCCTTCACACCACACAGGGAGATCCGCCTGCTGTCACTAGCCCTACCCCTTTCCCAGGGAGGCCAGATAAGCACCATGCAGAAGAGCGAGCCCATCCACCCCACCTCCAGCGCTGGGGATGGACGCTCGGAGAATGCTCTACCACTGAGCTACACTCCAGGCCCAAGATACATCTTAAAATATGGTTCTGACCATTTATTCACCTTTGTTCCACCACAGTGGGACTGTACCCCGCAGTGCTCTTGGCTCTTTAGCACTGGAACTTCCCAAGTCTACACCTCCCAGCGTTCCTCTGGGGAATCATAGACACCAAGTAACAGAAAGCTAGTACCATGTGGGCAACAGAGGGTGTCACACAGGAAGAGCCAACCCAGGAGGGGCAGGAAGGAGCAGGGGCTCTTGGAACTGGACCCTAGGGACTTCCTGGTGTCACCAGCTACAGCCAGGGCACTCAAGTGATGACCCAACCTTTCCTCTGTAAGATGAGAATAAAATGAGGGTCCATCTTGGACCTAGTGACAGCTTAGCCACTGTTCAGATTTATGTACAAGGGTTATCACTCCTCCCTTCCTCCACTAGCTCATCTGACAAGTGTTTCCCAGGATAGGACATGCCAGGGATGTTCTGGGCTAAAACAAAGGCAGCACGTCTAACAGCCTGTACGTGAAGCAGGGGAGATGGGTGTGCAGTTGTGGGTCCTGTTATCTAAATGCATGAAGAGACTTCTGCAAGACACCAGGTGACAGGTGTATGGAAACCAGGATGACAGGGTTGCAGGAAGGCAGCAGGTACGCAGACTCCAGGAGAACAGGGTCCCAAGAGAAGTGAACAACATGTACTGCTCCTGTGAGTTTTACTGGATACAGAATTCTCTTTTTACCTCAGCCTTGGGTAAACTGTCCACTTCTGGCCTCCTGGGTTTCTGATGAGAAACCAGCAGCCAGTGTAGCTGCCATCTCTCTCTTGCTGCTGGAAAGATCGTCTCCACACTTTCAAGTTTGTTCAGTGAGGAGGTGTCTTTCTGTGGGTCTCTTGGAGCTCATTCACCTTGGAGAAGGGTGATCTTCTTGGGGTAAGTTAAGGTTTTCATAAAATGGGCATTTGGGGCCATCACTTCTGGTATTTCTTCTGCCCCTTCCTCCTCCTCTCCTCCTGGACTTGATGGTGTTCTATAGGTCTTGGGATTCCTTAATTTCTTCCATCCTTTTATGCATCCCATTCTTCAGACTAGAAAATCTCCATGGATTGATTCTTTTTCTGCCACTCAAGTCAGTTGCTGAGCCCTCTAGCAGACTTTTCACTTCTTTTACTGTATTTTTCAAATTTGGTGTTTCTATTTGATTAATTGGTTTTTAAAATAATTTATGGTCTCTATTGCTATTCTCTTATTTAATGAGAAGTTATTCTCATGATTTCTCATAGTGTTAGCTATTTTTTTCTCATTGCTGAGACAAACTACCTGATGCCCAAAGTTTAAGAGGAAAGGGGTTTATTTGGCTTACAGTTTGTAGAGGATTCAGTCCATAATAGGCTGGGCTGATAAACAGGCATCGCAGAGGAGAAACAACATGGCATGCACAGGGAGCAAAAGCAACAAGGACTTCACTGTGTCTTTCTGCCTCTTTTATCCCATCCAGGCTACTAGGATTAGGGCAGTGCTAAACCTCTCACCTGTATTGCTATAATAATCACATGCCCTTAACCCCAGCATCATACACTCTAGATTCAGCTACCTATGACCAAATGAGGCTGGCAGGGGGGTGCATCCAGACCCAAACCATAACACTGGTTTGGTTACTTCCCTTGTCTCTGGGACAAAATACCCAACAACCACCTTAAAGGAGGAGAGATTTATTTTGGCTCATGGTTTCAAAAGTTTCAGTCCACGTTTGGCTTGAACACAGAAAAGGCAAGGTGGAAGGGCTGGGTGGAGGACAGCTGCTTACATCACAAAAGCCAGGAAGCAGGAAATAAAGGAGGTGGGGAGGGAAATGAACCCTTCCAGGCCACACCTCCAGGGACCCCCTTCTTCTAACCAGGTCCCCCTCCTAACAGTCTACTCAGCGCTAGCGCCCTCATGATTCAGCAGACTTCCAAAAGCCCTGCCTCTGGATGCATGAAGCTATGGAGGAACATTCTAGATCTGACCCACAACAGTTTCCTTTAACGATGCAGGCACAGTGTGTTCTCTGAACACATTTAAAATAGCTGATTTAAAGTTTTTGTCCAAGAACTCCAATGTCTAGACTTCCTCAGGAACAGACAGTTTCCATTCACTGCTCTCTCTGTCCCAAGTGTAAGTCATATTTTTTTTTATTATTCTTCTCCAACACATTTCTATTGAGAACCAAATAATACAAGGCAGCAACTCTAGAGATCAGATCACCCCCTACACACACTCCAAGGATCATGGTTGTTGCTGTTTAATTTTGATGTTGTCTGCTTTGTGACTTTTCTGAACGAATTCTACATATCCCTGGTCCCCTTAAATTCCCAGAATTATTCCCAGAGCCTTCCAAAACACATTGGTACATCTCCTTCCCTAGTTTTTCCTTGCATTTATTTGGTGATCCTGTGTTCCCCAACTGTTGCCAGCACCCAAGGCAGCCATGAAGTTAAACACTGGTATGAAATGCTTCCCACAACATTCTGAGCAAAGGCAGCCCCACCAGGCTCTGTATCAGGTCCAGCGGAGGCAAGTGTGGTAAGTGGGATTTTCCAGGGAAGTTCTAGATGCCAGACAATGATAATTCACTGTGAATGGGGCTTTGAAAGAACACCAGCCCCATTCCGACCACCTCCGGTCTTGGCCAGTTTGCCAATGTTCACTGTGATAGGGATCATAAGTCTTCAAAGCTACCACACAGCTGAGGGGACAGGAGGATAGGAATGGAGCAAGATTAAAAAAAAAAGCTCATTGTTCCTGCACTGGTGCAAGATTATAGCTCATTTCCAGAGTTCTGACAACTTCTTCCTGTGTTACTGGTGTGTCCTCGGAGGAGAGGGTTTTCAGGCGTACTTCATCCACCACCCAGATGGACATCAGCCCCAGTGTGCAGGAGTCTTATGAGGATGGTAAACAGAGCAAGAGATGCTCATATCTGGGATACAGAAAAATGTCTCAATAGCTGCTGTGGGGTGGCCAGGGGTGAGGCGGAGCCAACACCCTGCACCACAGGGCAATGAGTTTCCCTGATGTCTCAGACTCTTGGACTTGAAAGCATGCAAAAAAGCACCCCAGCAGCTTCTGGGGACCAAGAAACAGGGGAGGGAGGCAGGCAGATATTTTTCAGGGCAAAAAAAAAACTCCTCATGCCTGCATTTCTCTGTGTGTGTGTTTGCACACATGCCCAGGTAAGAGGTAAACTGAGGAAAAGGCACTGAACTGTCCATATTCCAACTCCAGGTGCAGCCTCAGGAGACATTTAAAACAATTCCTTTCTGGTAAGAACCTAGGACATTTAAAAATAATTCCTTTCTGGTAAGAACCTAACATAATGTCAAATCTCTCAATTAATACACACACACACACACACACACACACACACACACACACATACATATACACACATACATATACTGTTATTATCCATTATTGGTATAAGGTTCCTTGTGGAATAGACCTCTGCAGCTTACTCATCTAGCTTGAAACTTTTTGCCCCTGCATTAATATCTCCTCATGTCCCGTTCCTCTTCCCTAGGAATCATCATGTCACTGACCTATGAATCCCACAGCTTACAAAAGTGGAATCATGCAGCATTTGTTTCTTGGTGGCAGGCTTAATTAACTTAGCAAAATGTCCTCAACTTTTATTTATACTGTCTTATCTTACAGAATTTCCATCTTTTTAAAATATAAAAACCATTCCATTTTATGTTCGCACTACACTTTATTTTCTTGAAGGCTTTATGCATGTGCGTTACATACAACTTGATATTTTGATATGCATATATATTGTGAAGTGACTGTCACCATCAAGCTAATTAACATACCAATCATATTTACATAGTCAGCAGTCTTTGTACAGTGAGATTAAATTTAAGATTTATCTCTTGGCAAATTTCAAGTATACATTACCATTAAAGCCCATCACTGTATTGCATGTTAGATCACCAAACTTATGCAGTTTGCGTGGCTAAAAGTGAGGGTTAACTTAAACCTAAACCTAAACCCTAATCCTAAACCCTAACTTTAACTATAACCCTAACCCAAAACCCTAAACTTAACCTGTTCTCTCACCATCACTACTCCATTTTTTCTCCCTCGGCTCCTGGCAAATAAGCTGTCTGTTCTTTTTCTCACTCTGATCCTTCAGCGACTCTCACAATGTGCATCTGGGTGACTTCTTGTCACTCCCTTCAGCTTTCTTCATTCTTTTCCATTCATTTTTCTCTTTTTGATCCTCTGACTGAATTATTTCTAGGGACTGCTCTTCCAGCTCATTGATCCTTTATTCTGCTTGGATCCTTTATTCACCTCTAGCGAGTTTTTCAGTTTAGTCACTGTGATCTGGTGAGGCGGAGCCAACACCCTGCGCCACAGGGCAATGAGTTTCCCTGATGTCTCACTCTTGACTTGAAGGCATGCAAAAAAGCACCCAGCAGCTTCTGGGGACCAAGAAACAAGGGAGGGAGGCAGGCAGATAAACATTTTCTATTTCTTTGTTGTTCTCTTTGCTTGTGAATCATTCTCTTGACCTCAGTGAGCATCTTTCTGAGAGTTCTTTTTAATTCTCTGTCAAGTAATCCATTTAAGTGCATTTCACTAGGGCCCATTTCTGGAGATTCATCTTGTTCCTTTGTCTGCAGCATCTCCATGTGGTTCTTTGCTTTCCCTGACTCTCTGTTGGTGTCTGCAGAGCGGAGACAGCAGGCACCTTACCCAGTCTTTAGAGCCTGCCACAAGCAGCGGGGGAGTCACATCAATCATCCCAGCCAGAGATTCTGGGGCCTTCACCAACTTTCCCTCTAGGCAAGACCGGGCAGCTGTGGTTTCTGCCTGCCCACTCCGTGCTGGGCACTGGGGTGAAGGTTATGGTTTCTTTCAGCTGAAGCCCCTCACAAATCCAGACTGGGGAGATAGATGCCCACTCTTTGCACAACCCCAGAGAGGCTGGAGAATTTGTTACACTTCCCAGTCTTCCCTCTGAGGCAGAACTAAACTGGGATTTTTCATCTTCTCACTCTGGGCTGAGCTGGGGGAGGTCACTGATATCTACCTGTTCATGTCACCAGGAGGCCCCTGATCCTAATGGCCTCCCGAGGTGTGCAGAGGCTCCAGCTCCCTCAAGGTCCTCCGTGACCATGCTGGTGATCCATTCTCAGCAGAGAGAGGGTCGCTGTATCACTCCTCACCCAGTAACAAGACACAGTAGGTGAGTGGAGACAAGGCATATGCTAGTGTCAGCTGGTCCTAGTCCAGCCCTGAGCCACTGGCCAGGGAGTCTCGCCCACAGGCTTCACCACACAAACCCTCCATGTCCTCAGCTATAAAACGGAGGAGGTAATGCAGGCCGGTCATTGGCATCACCACACCAGTCAGAACCAAGTACTTAGCAAAGAGGTTCTGAGCACCACTTTTGGAGTCACTTTGGGCTTGAACGCTGGCTCTTCTGCTCCCTCCCAAATACCAGGCCTTCACCCCACATGCTTCATCATTCTCCTCTGCAGGAAGAGGACACTGGTCCTTACAGTAGCATGAAGAGTTCGCCCGTGAGCCCAGGACAGTGCCTTTGAGCTCCTAGCCAGGGTTGATTATGCCTGCTGCCTCAGCACATAGCCCACGAACCTCAGTTCACTTCTGGTAAAGAGTTACAACTCACAGAGGCCCAGGGCAGGCCTCTGATATTCTTTTATGTCTCCAGGGCAGCCTGACACCCACCACTGAGCCAGCAAAGAAAAGTGCCGCAGGCCAGCACCATCTCCCGTCTCGGTGACATTCATGCACATTCCAGTCCCAAGGAGCTGGCTCGCAAGTATTCTAAGCACAGTACACTTCGACACACAGGATTTTATAAACAAAACATACAATGTAGCAAAATAAATACTTTTAACAGAATCTTAAAATCAGAAAAAGCAAACCTCAGAGTGTCTACAGCAACTCAGTTTCTCCACCTGTAAAGGGTGACAACAGTCCCTTCCTGCTAGGGTTGTCGGGAGGTGAAAAAGGTAAGGAAGAGGAGCAGGTGTCCCAGAGCTGGGCAGCAACTAAAATAAAGCCTAACGCTTACTCAGACATGGGCAAATCCCCAGCACAACACATCACTGTCCAACCTCACCCGAGAGACAAGAGCTCGGACCCTCTCTAGTCAACACAGGAAGTGCAAGGACACTGCGGGAGGAAATAGGAATGAAAACGACAGCGTGTGTCCCCCAGGAAGCAACAGCTCCTTGTGGGGACCAGCTTCCCTGCCAGGTAATGCTCACCTGGGCATCCTGACCACATCTGCCCTCTCCTCCCAAACTACTGTGATCTTCCTCCACCACCTGTCTCATGCCCTCGCCACCTCCTTCGCCCCTTCCTCACCTCCATCACCCCCGCCCCCTGCCCCCCGGCTCTCCACTACAGCTCCCCAGCCCCCTTCTAGGCCAGGTCTCTGCCAGCCCTACCTCACATTGTCGTGCCTCTGGATGTAAATCTTGTGGAAAATCCTCTCGGGGGGCTTGAGGAAGTCCTCCTTCATCTCCATGGCGACATTCCGGGGCAGGAGACTCATGAGCAGCCGCTCCTGTTCAGGAGAGGAGGCCACATGAGGCAGAGGCTCCCCTTCTCCCTTGGAGTACCCTCCCAGATGAGGACAGGGGAGGAGCTAGCCCTGGCCAAGGGCTGCAGACCCCCACGCACAGTGAACCGCGACCAGGCCCACAGACCCTGCCCAGTGCCCAGACCTGGACCTCGCTGAACAGGAAGCCAACTCACTCCAGGAGTGCTGGGAGCAGGGTCACAGACACACAAATGCCACCATCTCCCATCAGGCCTCGTCTGGCCCCAGGCCACCCAGCACTGAGGCCATTGGCCCCTCCTGGCTGGACATGGCCTCACAAAGGGGCCCTGGGGTGGCCCACCACACCAGGTTAGGGGCCTGTCCTTGAGCTTATCAACATCCCTGGCCCCTGGACGATTCTACAGACTTGCTCAAAAGTACTGGCCAGCTAGGGGAACTGAGGCAAAGGCACCGGAAAGGCCTCAGGGCTGCACAGAGTGGGCCTGTGCTTTTGGGGATTTCAAGATTAATTCACAGATTCTCGGGCAACCACCCAAGCACAGCCCCAGGGAGGGCCCTGAGAGACCCACAACAGGCATGGGGCAGGGTCCCCATGCCGGATAATTGAGCCCCACCTGGTACCATGGTCACTGCACGGCCATTGCTCCAGCAGGGTGGCTGGGGCTCCTGGTCTCCCCAGTCTGAACAGGGTACATGTAGACAGGGATCAGGAAGCCACAGGCAGAAGGGCTGGGCCTCCAGGCAAGAGGACACTGACCTCCAGGACAGAGGCATCCGGACCAGTGGGCCAAAGGAAGGAAGAAAGAGCTGGGCACAGGGGCTGGCATGGCACAGGCCACTGAGAGGGGGCTGCTGCAGTCAGTAGCCACAAGCCACCTGTCCCCTCCACTGCAGGCACCCCAGGAAGCACCTTGTTTTTATTGCAGGCTTTGGGGGCCAGGAAAGAAGACCATATCTTCCAGTATGCTGTGCAGCTCAGGTAGTCAAAGAGAAATCAGACCACGCCCTCGCAGGAGCACACAGTTTAGACATGAGCCGCAAGATGAGCTGCTTCACCCCAGCACACAACTCCTGCCAGGATGCAGTGCCAACTGGCAGCTGGTCATGGGCCAGAATTTCCAAAACTGTGAGCCCAAATGGAACTTTCTTCTTCATAAGGGATCGCAGTATTTCATTACAGCATCGGAAAGCCCATGAGCATGGGGAGCTTCTGCAATATCCTTCAAAGTGGCTTCTTTTACCTTTCTCCCGTGCAATGGCTGGGAATGCAATCACAATGGATATATCTCTAGCTACCATCTTTGTTCATGAGGATGAAGACCTCACCCTAGGGACCTAGGTGGGGAACTTGGAAAAAAAAACAAAACCAAAAGCCAGGTTGCTCAGGGATTCCTGGATCTGACCTACCACAGCACCAGAAGATGCCTGTCCTGGGATGTGAGTATGGGAGCGCTATTTCACTTGTTTAAGCCTCTTCCCTGTGAAGTTTCTGACAACTGCCTGTACTTCCCACGGAGGAGCCAGTGTTAGCTGTCTCCTTAAATTAGCAACACCAAAGCCACCACCTGCTGATAAGCAAGCCTAAAGCATAACTCTTTTTCCACAGGAGGCAAAGGGCCATGTGATAAGATCCAGCATTCCCTCCAGATTTACATCAAAGCAAACTGATACAAAATAGCTCATTTGCATAATACAGATGTTTCCTGATTAGTTTCCAGTCTCCAACGGGATTCCGAAAGCTCAAATACAGTAAGTATTAACATCAGGAACAGAGGGTGATGCCAACAAGGTCTAACCAGCAAAATAAGATGCACAGCCAGAAACCAAAGAGATAAAAGCTATTATGACTCTGGATTGGCTATGCATCATACCAAGGATCGCCTTGTCCTGCAAACCCAACATTGAAACCTTAACAGACTTATCTCGACTATCAAAGTGTGACTCAAATAAATGTGCCAGGCTTCCCACAAATGAGATGTCTGAATGACGGCTGCACAAGAAGATCAGACTGTTTCCCCTCTCCAGTCCCACCAAAGTCCTGGAGGCTCCCAACAGCATCAAGATACTGAGAGGCAGAGACCTGGGCCCAAGAAAGGACACAGAAGAAGAAACCCAGAAGCCAGGACCCAAGAAGCCCAGTGGCTTCCCTGGGCTTCCGGTCTGTACCCCAACCCCAATCACACCAGCAAAAACCAAGTCCCCAGGCTAGACCTCCACCCTCCCCTATGGCACTGTATGGTGTCACAGAAGGGCACAGAGAGAGCCAGGCTTGTCACCTCCACATCCTTGTTACAAGTTACAAGCACCCCTTCCCACTCGTGGGGTCAGTGGTGATCACAGGACTGCTTTGCTCTTCCTGCACTGAGTGCCTCGCTCCTGCAATAAGGAGGGGTCAGTGGAGGCCCAGCATGGAGCCAGGACTCCCATCGCCCCAGCAGTAAAGAGACCAAGGGTCCCTGTCACTGCTGCCAGAGTGACGTCACAGAAAACCGGCCTAGACACATGCAGTGGTGCACACCTGTAATCCTTGCCCTTGAGAAGCTGAGGCAGGAGGATGCCAAGGTCAAGTGCAGCCAGGGCAATTTAGTGAGACCCTATCTCAAAATTTAAAAATGAAAAGAGGGAGGAGTCTGGGAATGCAGCTCAGTGAAAGGCCCTAGGTTTGATTCCCAGGACTTAGATAGATGATAGACAGATAGATAGATAGACAGACAGACAGATAGATAGACAGACAGATAGGATGGAGATGCAGCTCAGAATGAAGGCCTTGGGTTCAAACCCTAGTACCATGGAAAGAAGGAAGAAAGAGAAGGAGAGGAAGGGAGGAGGAAGGAAGGGAAGAAGAGGGGAGAGACCCAGCCCAAATAAGGTGAAAACAAGAGACACTTCCTCATACAGTGCCTGGCAGATGCCTGGGTTCCAGGGGCCAAACCCTGAGTCACATGAAGAACTACAAGGTGCTCAGTGGATGAACAAAGACAAGCAACAGCCACAGCACCAGGACAGAGAGGCCAGAATAACCGACCAAGACCTCAAAGCAGCCACCATCAGAGAGTCAACAAAGAACTCAGACACACTCAACAACGAGTGCAGACTGTAGTAAACCCCAAGGGGGTGCCAGCAATTCAGCAGTGCACAGGAGGATGGTAACCCTGTGGAATGGGTTGACTCTGGCTCACTATTGAGTATCAATGCTATGGACCGCAGCAAGGAGTACGGCGTGAGCACACGCACAGCAGCTAACACTGACAAAGAGTGGAACAAAAGACAGCATCTGTTCGTGATGAGAGCTTTCAGGGAAAGAGGAATACAGAATTCCCTCATCTTGATAAAGAACACCCCAAGAAGCCTACAGCTGGCATAATCTGAAAGGTGGGACACTGAGTGTGGCCAGGGCATGAGCCTGTCACTCAGACTCAGCATCACCCTGGAGGGACACAGACCGGAAGGAAGAAATGAGAGTCGCGTGCTGGTCCAGACAGGAAACATGAAGGACGCCACAAAAACAAAAGCAAAGCACAGTTTAGATACACCCAGAGCAAGTGACTGAGTTTAAAAGATCACAGGATACTGATTAAAGAGATCAGAAAAAATCTAAATAGACAGAGAGACATGATTTCATGAATTGGAAGAGTCAATATAGGAAAGATGCAAATTCTCTCCAGCTTTAACACAAATTCTTTAACACGTTCCAGCAATGTCTCTAGTAAATATAGGTTAGGATATTCTAAAATGTATATGGAAAGAAAAGGAATAATAAAGGCTAATACAATTTTTAAAACCCAATAAGGTAGGAAGAAGCAGTCTACTCAGTCTTGAACACTTTTTACAAAGCAATTATAAAGGCTGTGTATTGGTAAAAGGAGAAACACACAAGACACTGGAATCTCTCCCACCATCTAAAACCCAGCACCATCACATAAATATGCCCAACTGGTTTTTGTCAAAGGTCCAAAAGTCATTCGATGGAGGAAGGATAGACTTTTCAACAAAATATTCACAACCATAAAAATAAACCTTGACTTAGACCTCACACTTTGCTCCCAAATATAATATAAAGGTTTAACTCTAAACTATGAAAGTTTTAGAAGAAAACTCATGAGAGAAACCTTCAGGAACTAAGGCTAGGCTCAGAGTTCTTAGATCTGACTTTAGACCAATGCAACCATTAATAGATCTAACAACCTGTCCATCCATAAAAGTAAAAAGTGGTAAGTTTAATCTCATCATAATGTTAAAGTGTTTGTTCAGCAAAAGACACCATTAGAGGATGAAAAGAGACGTTTCAGGCTGGGAGAGTTTTTGCAAACCACACAGTCAACAAAGGATTCCTACCTGGGACATACAAAAAATCCCCAAAGCACAACAAACTTAAGAAAATTCCAATGAGAAAGTGGGCAAAAGACAAGAACAGGCACATCACCAGGAACGTTATGCACAACCACTTCAGAAAACGGTCTTGCTATTTCTCAAATGAAATAAATACACAACTACCAACTGTACTTTTCGGTATTCATGCCAAAGAAATTATTACCTATGTTCACATGTAAACCAGGTCCCAAACACTCAGGAGTTTTATTTGTAATAGCCCCAAACTGAATGCTACCAAGATGTCCTCTGGTAGTGAACAGCTAAACAAGCTGTGCTACGGCCACAGCAAAGAATACCACGTGACAGCACAAGGAATAAACCACTGACAAATTCAGTAACCTGGCTGGATCTGCAGAGAATTATGCCAACCCCCAAACTCGACAAGACTGTGCGATTCCTTTTGATGACCCCTGGAGAATCACACACTCGTGGAAACAGAGAAGTCTGAGGGATTGAGAATGAGCGCTGAGACCCGTGAGGCAGCCCCGCGCCCCGTGGCAGTGGATATGTGTATGCCCTGTATCCTGATCATCCAAAATCCACCTCTCGGTGTGACCTTGTGCCACAGTTCTGCAAGATGTCCCCACTGCAGAATGGGGTGGAGGGCACACGCCATCTCTCCGTACTGTTTC